AACAATTGACTCTCGGTTAAGTTAAAAAATCACCTTAGGACAAATGAATGCAGCCATATTAAGTTCAACATGATACGTTACGTAAATACGGGAATTAATAACAATATAAATTAAGTCTATTATATAGATAACTAGCTGTTACCCACGACTCCGCGCGGGAAAAATAAACTTAATAAGAACCTTACTTGTTCTTCCCGACTATATTCTACATCTGTACCAAATTTGATCAAGATCCGTTGAGCCGTTACGGAGATACCTTCAAATATCCATCCATCTAAATATTCGCATTTATAATATTAGTAAGAAGTAAGATATGTTCTTTGCGATACATCTAAAGTGTTTTTATATCACAACTTCTATAAACTTACGTAAAGGATTTTAATTGTAGGCGACAAAAATACTCATTTGGTTTTTAGCAGCTACTAAAAGCGTTTGGTTTTTAAGATGTCAATTAGACTCCAGCATTTTGTCTATGCTTTAATTAGTCTCAGATTAAAGTTAATCTTGAAATGCGATAGAATAACGAACAAAGGAACAGCGTTCTTTCATTACGAACACCTGTACGAAGTCTTTTTGTACTGTAATTAAAAAGTTTCGAATTTAAAATGTCGCGATTTTTTCTACGTTAAATTAATCTTCTTTGAAGTCACTGTTTTTTTTTGTTAATAATTTTAAACAAGAATTTCTTAGAAATCTAAATAAATACTTTCACTTTTATTAACTAAAAGGGGTCAACAGAAATAGGATATCAATGCTAATTCCATTTAACTAAATACAAAGATATTTTCATTCGAATATATATATATTTTTTTATCTAACTCATTTAATATTTAATCTCTATTCTATTTAAGATACATTCCTAAGTTTCGTAAAATAATTAAACAAACACTTTTATTTAATTTAACTGTTACAGAGTAATAAAATGAGAGATATCTTTAATAGTTAAAAGGTAACGGCAAAATTTATTCATCCTTGCTAATTAGTTAAGGGTTTCAAACTCAATCCTGTTTCATTCGTGATACCGACAAATTATACAACCCGTTTGTTAGGCCACTCTTAATTTATTCGATTAGCTTGCCACTATCAAGCTTTGTAAATATATAAATTATTTATATGTATATTTACTTTGAATAGTAGCGTATTAAGGGTTTTAAAATGAACAGTTAGTTGATTAGGATCGACTAATTATTCATTTATCGTCAGTTTCTGAGACCAGTATATCGGTTTAAAACATTGTTATCTCTATTTTATTAAAGATGACAGAGATATGTTTTATACAGAGATTTTGATCTTAGAAACCAACGGTTAGAAAGGTCAATTCGAGCTGACTTCTGTCCAGTTTTTGATTAGAAGTCAACTGGAATATTCCTATTTAATTAACTACATTTAAATTATATATTTTCGCACAATATCATCAATATTTTCCATCCATTTACTCATCATCATCGTCAAAATTAGCCTAAATTTATTCACTGCTGGACGTTGGCCTCCCCTATCGATTGCCACAATGCCCGGTCCTGTGCCGCCCGCACCAAATGCACTCCCGCAACCTTGACTAGGTCATCGGTCCACGCTGCGTCGACCCGTCCGCGGCGACCACTCTAGAACTTTTCGGCCCCATCGATCATCCTTTCTGCGGGCACCACTTATGGTTTGCTATTCTTCGGGCAATGTCGGTTACTCTGGTCCTGCTGCGGATCGCATCATTTCTGACCATTTACTAGCAGTAGGATTTACTATGACAGTTTCCGCAACACCACAGAGGCCATGGTTATTGATTAGTCTGGCCAATCCGGTAAATTGATGCATTTACAATTTAAATTTAACTCAAACACGGTAGAGTAGTTCTTAACATAGCTTAATGATCGCGTAATACATCAGAGACATATCTCTACGTGTCATGGCCCACAGCGAATTAATCTTGTACCAGTCTTAGCGAGCTTCCGACAACATACATTAAATTGTCACCCCAAATTATACATACCCTTAATATAACATGGTATTTTAACAAAGGAATAATGTTTGTCGTGTATAACAGCTTTGAACTGGATGGAAATTTCATTATTGCTACAAATACTGCAAAGAATTAGCTATGTTTAATAATGTACTCAACATTTTGTAGACAAAATTATGATTTGTGTGTAGAGAAACGCTGCACAGTTAGTTTAGAAAACCTAAATAAAGACTATAGAAAAGTTCCAAAGAACAAAATAGTGTTGAAAGGGATCATAAAAATGTCAATTCAGTGTAAGTTTTTTTTTTGTGTTCGTAAAAATATATTTTTTAATCAAAATGTATTTTAACTTTGTTTGTAATAATATCAGCAAGCTTTTATTTGACGTCAATTTAAAAAAAATGTAATTGAAAAAGATAAAATCACTATCTAATTACTTACATAAGCCATTAAATTAATCTGATTATGTAATTTTAGCTATCATTATTTTATTATGTCCGTTTTTAGTAATAAAATGAATACTCTTACGCCATAAATTTCGTGGAATTTTTCCAATAAAATAGTCTATATATTTTCTCTTGAGAGCTCGCCGCCTTAAGGTTAGCCACTTTCATGAAAATGAGAAACAGCAGCAAACATACCGGTGTGTATTCAGCTAGCCGCACCAGCTGAGGTACTGTTTTAATTTTCTTTCACCTTTCGCCGACGTTTGTATAATTTTACTATTTGTCGTTTACAATCCCCGGAGTCTCGGAGTTATTTGTTCAGGATATACGCTCATGAAAATGTACTATTCATAATTTTCTATCATATTTTATGTTATAAATATTTTACTAATTAAGTCAAGAAAATTTTCCATTCCTTTCAATCTATTGCCATTTTGTTGTCTCGATTTTAGAAACGGTTATGTCGTAATAACAAAGATGGCCGTCGGCGTGGATGAGCGCAGCCCCCTCTACAGCCACATGTAATCCCAGTCGGACGCAATCACTGGCGACCCGAGCAAAATTAATGAAAAGCTAAGTAATATTCTAAATATGAAAATAATCTTAGAAAATTATTAGGTAATTAGACAGTAAAAATAAAAGTTTTAGTCCATTTATTCAATCATCACAATCGCGTGGACAACGATTCACACACACAAACACACACATACAAACAAATAGACAACAAAAAAGTAACGACCTGTATTTTCAACTCTCCAGTTAATCTTTGAATATTAGACAGTTATTTGAAACACGCTGTATAATTAACATATTACGTGAATTTCAAAGTATTAACTCTTACTGAACAACAAACGAGATACGTTGACATTATACACGGATATGTCAGAGTTGCTCACGAGACACTTTTGAGAAGATTAATGTTTCATGTTTCCTTTGGAACTCGTTGCTTAATTCATTTATCATAAATTAGCTTAACTAAACATACGCATTAAAATATTTTGAGTTCCACTTTTTCATTAAGCAACGCACTTTCTTAATATAGAAAATACTAACTATGGCCCGCGATTTGATCCGCAAATTAAAAAGTAAAATAATTAACAGCCTATATGTTCTTTCAGACTACGTTCTACATCTATGCTAAATTTCTGCGAGATCCATGCAGCCGTTCTAAAAATACTGTCTAAATAACTTCAAATAAAGACAAATGTTTCCACAAACCGCAAACCTCTTATAAATGTTATACGTGATCTCGTCTTTGAACCAAGGACAAGCACACCTGAATAACCTTTAACATTTAAGCCATTATAAGCAAAGGATCCAATTTATGTAATGGATTTTATGATAAACTAGCCGTCGCCCACGAGTCTGTCCGCGCGGAATTAAAAAAAATTTGTGAGTAGCCTATGTTTTCTTCCAGACTATTTTCTAAATGTATGCCAAATTCCATCAAGATCCGTTCAGCCGTTCTGAAGATATATTTAAACAAACATCCATCTAAACATTCCGATTTATAAAATAAGTAAGATTATAAAGTTTATTACTTACAATATCTTTTTTACTATAATATGAGTTTCCTAAGCTTTTTAGGTTATGAAAATAGACACCTAATTACTAGATAAAATGTTGCCACAAGCCACAAATAGATTGCTTAAAGTCTAGGTTTACATTATAATCGAGATAGTCAATCAACGTATAACTTAATTACAAGCGACACTTGATGGATGCAAGATAGATTGACAATTAAGTTACTTAGGGTAATGAAACAGTAATAGGCAATCAAGGCATTGTCGCTGATAGATGTCGGTATGATCCCAACGCAGGATAGCGGCTAGCCTATATACATTATAGATATAGGACTTTAACTAATCCTTTTCGTAGATAGTTGGCTACTTTTGATTACTAAACAATCTTTATTCACTGCCAATATTTTGAGTAAAACAAATAAAACAGTTCTAGTAATTAATTTAGCCTATTAGCTGTGGCCTGAGACTCCGTCTGCGCGGGATTAAAAAAATAATTAATAGCCTATGCGATAAAGACTATGTTCTACACCTATGCCAAATTTCAATGAGATCCATACAGCGGTTCTCAAAATATCTTTAAACAAACATCCATCCATTTAAACATTCGCAATTATAATATTAGTAAGACCTATGTTACTCAGTGATGATTATCTTTCTAATGGCGTAAGCATTTTTGATATCGGTCTTAGAGGTTTTGGGTATATTCGTTACATAAAAAAATATATAATAAATCATTGATCTTTAATAAAATTAGTATAAATGAATACTTACTTGATAAATATTCAAAACAAAAACGTTACATTTTCTATATCTGATGAGTATTGAAATATTTAAGAAACATTTTATATAAAAGAACTTGAGAAGAAATTTTGTTTTATCCTCATAAACAATATTTGCAAAAAAACCACTACTTAAAAGTTTCCTTTTTTCATTTCCTTTTATTTCTAAAAATTTTATAATAATTCCACAGAACAAAATTCTCACGGAACAAACGAGTTTTAAACTCCTACGCGTTCAGAAAAGCTTTTAAATTGTGAAACATAAACAACATTTTTAATCATTGTTAAGTATTTATTTTGATATTGAATACACACAAAAGAATGAACAAAATAGTATGCCTGATAAGTGTGACAGTTTTGGGATATGTTTTTACTTTAATTCCAACTTTTACTGGTGCAATGATTTCTCTCTATGGAACACCAAACCTATAGGTACTCCTTAGCTGTCATGAATGTAGTCAATAATTGTTTCATTCATCTCATTTATTCTATCAATATCATTAAACTCTAATATGAAATGTGGATAAAAAGTCAGGTGCGCGTACAACGACATGCTCGAAGTCCATAAAGGACAACCTCCCGTCTCCATCAACATCGGCCTCGTCCAACACGCTGGCGACGATCTCGTCTCTTTCCTGTGGATGCAACTCGCCCTTGGTCAGCAGCCGTGTCGCTTCCAGCAGATCCTCGCGTCCTATGTACATGTCGTCGTCCAGATCGTAGATACGGAATGCGTACCTAGTGAAAAAATACAATAAGTTCCAATACGAGTACTGGATGAGATTAGTTCTAAATGTTATCCTGTAATATTGAGAGACAAACTTCTGTCTTGTCTTCTTCCTGTTTAGGAATTGTTTAAATAGATTATTAGACACAATTAGACACTTAAAGAAGTCAACTGCAAATAGTATTTAATCCGTGGCAAATCCACATTTTAGGATCCTCAAAATATTTAAAAAACTAAAACTATAATACTTTAAGCAATATTTCAACAAACTTAACATAAAAATATGTATATAAAATTTAATATCCTACATTTCCGACGAAATATATTTTATAAATCTTGCAATTGCAAAATCTTTCTTTGAAATGTGTGTTAGATTTAAAGTGCAGAGTGGCAGTCTCACCAAGCTTTAATATCCCTCGGCGCCGCTTCACTGAAGACGGACATCATGTCGAGGAAGTCCTCAAACGTAAGGTTGCCGGAGCCGTCGTGCGAAAATACTTGGCAGATGCGACGCTTGAAAGGATTCTCCTGAAACCAATTTTAAATTTAACATTTTATATTTCGATACGAACTGGAAATATCGATTCGAAGTCGAAATAAGTATTCGATTTTTCGAGATTAAATTTAAAATATTTTATTCCTTTTATTAACAACAAAAACAATTCGATAGCCGAAAATAGATTATTTTTCTTATCTTTTGATCGGTTTTGCAAATACGGTACGAAGTAAAAATATCTCGAGATCAATTGTTGAGTTCGGAGTTATTGTAAAACCATAAGTTGATAGCCAAAATTAAACCTGGGGTGACACCTCGTATAAACTTAGGTTATTATTGTCAGTAATACAAGAACAATACCTTTAATTCAGGTAGTTTTTCTATTTCTTCTACAGGCACAGCTATGGTGTGAGCTTGATTTTCCGTCATCCGCTTTGGGACAAGGTCCGGGTTCACTTCTCGAAATCGTTTGAAAACTCTAATAAATATAAGATTTGTAATGATTAATAGACCTCAACTATCAATGCACTTTTTACCTATGGAATAATTATTGTGTAAAACTTGGTATTTACTACCAAAACACTAGTTCAAAAATATAGTCATCTCTCTCATTCTCTATCAGAAAATGAGAAACAACAACAGTACAGTTGCTTCGTCGGCATGTAAGCCCACGATAAGTTAAAAATAATTTATAATAAGCTCTAGCAACTAATAATCCATTTCGTATTCTTTCAACAGTCCTTATGTTTTGTAATCTGTATCTTATGAGCTATAAACGACTGGCCGGTGGCAACTTCATCAAGTCATAAAGAATAAAAACTTTTTTTTGGGACAAAACAATTTCATACCGCGCCGGTCACTGGCATTTGCGTACTCTTGTAATAAAATACAAAGATAAGACATTTTCGTCTTTTATTTCGTTTATTTCTTTATTGAATTTTAAAAAAACTTTAATTGAATTCTCTGCTAAATGCTTCAATACAATATTAATGTAATTAAATTTACTTAAATACTTATAAATTACGCCAAAATAAAATTATTAAAGAAAAGATATACCATGGAATTTTTAATCTGTAAAATAGAGTGCACATTGCATGTAAAACCTTCATTAATCATCGAAGATCCAATCATAGTAATGATTTTAGTGCACAATGAATGGAGACAGGTCTATTATTTATAATATTATTCTTAGAATGTATTCCGTATTTAAAAATGTAAGATTTTATAACAAAATAAAACTGTTAGTTCCCAAAACATTCTATGTATTTCCACTAGATGTTGCCCGTGAATCCGTCCGCGCGGAATTAAAAAAAATACTTGATTTATAGCCTATGAGTTCTTCCAGACTATTTTCTATATTAATGCCGTATTAATAGAGATCCAGCCGTTCTTGAGATACCTTCAAACAAACATCCATCCATACAAACATTCGCATTTATAATATTAGTATGATATTCAACTTTTGTTTACAAAAACATAAAGTATTGGAATATCAAAGGCGAGTAATATCTAAATGTTTAATAAATATATTGAGAATAATATTATATAAAATATCAAAGGAAAATATAAATTTCACGATACGGTAATAGTTTTCGCATAAAGTACCCATTTTCTTGAAAAATATCGCACCGAATGCCTGCGCCATTAAATGAAAGATGTCGTCTTACTGAATATAACAGCTGTCATAGACAATCGTACAATAAACTACGCCTTTCAATATTCGAAAATGATATGGAAATATTTGTGATAACATTCTACGAACGAAGGAGAATATTTTGCAGTTAAAACATGTTTTTAAAGGCACATTCATTTGTATGTACAAAAGTATGTGTACATTCGCGCGCAGTATGTGTTGCATTGTTTTTAACTGTAGTAGAGTTTTAACATCTTAGCACGAATTGGCCTGGCTCGCCCGGTGAAATACCACGACCACACAGAAGACAGGCGTCAAGTGGAAGCAATTCCGCGTACAGTCTGATGAGTGTGCGTCCCGGATGCCTCATTTAGTCCTCTTTCCCTTCCCACCCTTTTTCTTATAAGGAAAGGATGGGAAGTGGAAGTGGACTTTCCGGATGAGAGGATGCATAGGAAGGGAAAATATTTTCTTTCTGTGCATCCTCTCCTCCGGCGATTAAAGGTAGTCAACGCTATGCAATTGCGTATATCTATGGGCAGCGGTCGCTTCGCTATTTCAGCGATTTCAAGTGGCCGTTCGCTCGTTTGCCACCTTATGATATAAAGAAAAAAAAATGGCTAGTCCCGCTAGTAGAAAAAGCGTTTAAGATACGAATTTAAAACAATAGCTATGTAAGCTTTAACTAGTACAAATACTGGGATCATAAATTGTTTACGTCTTCGTTGTTAAAAGAACCCAAGACGATCAGCATTTTTTACGACAATACTCAAGTGAGTGCAGACAAGAACGTAATAACATTCAGATATTTCTCTTCTGTCGACCAGAAATTGGATTTGTTGATAAACGCTATGATCCACTTACCTTAATATTTCCTTCCTTGTAAAAAATGTACAGTCCTATTCATAAATCAAATACATTTTACGATTAAAAAGATGTACTTTAAATAAAATAAAACTTTCAAAAAAGTAATTTCTTCACCTCCAGAGGCACATACCTAAATATATTGTTAATTTTTTTTCTTTTTCTTTGGCTTATTAATTTATTCATTTTTGTCTTTATGTTGTACACCTGTTATTGGATAAATTATCAGTTTTATTGTGTTTATCTTTAGTGTGTACGTGTATAATAAATAAATAAACTTTTGACCTTAACAGTACTCGTATATACGAACGAATTAGTATATACGAGTACAACTGTGCCTCGTGGCTGAAAATTTTCCCTTGACATTGTATTTGTGCTAAGTATTAAATCAAGGTCACTGAACGTATACTACAGCTATTATTATAATTATCTAGTAAAATAGCACTTCTATGATATTAAAAGCACATAAGTCCATTTCTAGATTATCCTGATCTAGTAGATAGGAATACGAAAAGCAAAATTATTCTTTGAAGACCATTACGAAGACTTCTTTTAAAACTTTACATTTACAAACTTTTGATTTAACAACGATTTTAACAAAAATCAAAACACAACTATTGAACCAATTGAATTGATAATACCAAAGCTTTTTTATTCGAGTTTTATTTGCGGTGTCAATTTTTTGACTAAAAAATCAATTTATTTACCTGATAATCTTCTAATTGTTGTTCCGTAAATGTTACAATTTTGTTCCCCATTCCCGTAATCCAGCTTGTTCGAACTCAACTCCTTTTGAATAATAAATCACTGGAATATATTTTACGTTTGATACAAAACAGCCTGTTGCGACGACAGCCACAAAACACTGCCGGTCGGAATATAGTATACATTTTGGATTAGGGCGTGACTAGCGCAGACTAACACAAAACAGAGGCTACTAATTCATAGAGTACCTTCATGTATAAGACGCCTAAGTATGCTAGGTCTGTTATCTTTTTCATTCTCTATGAACATTAAAAAAACATAAATAGAAATATGTTAAAGCGTTCAATTCTTTAGAACTTACAATTAAAATATGAAGAAGACGCCAATTAAATGTTTTTGAAATACGAAAACAATAAAAGATAGTATAATTTCAAGCTGAAATTATGTACATCATGATTTCAGTGCGTCCTAAATTAATATTAAATCATTCGCTCTACTTTTAACATTATACTGTAATTACAGTTAGGCGGGCCGGCTGTTTGTCGCCGCGCCCCGACCTCGTCTAGTCCATTCTTTACCGATTGCAATACAATTTTGTCGTATTTTTCTGATAATTTTTACTTCAAGACTAAAATCAAAGTTGAACGGTACAATTTCCCTTTTAGATTTAGTATGTAAAATCTAGACTGCTTAAGTAACCCTTAAACGACTCTGGGTACATAGAAAATGAACAAGGACGTATGAATGGAAAATCTTTTGAATGACATCCAAATAAATAACTCATGTTACGTCAGTTCCTCAATCAAACTGATGTGGGAAACCTTCGTCGATTTTGAACGTATTCCGGCTTTTAGATCACTGAGTTATTTTATTTACATGAAATAAAGAAACTTGCCTATCTTCTGAAACGTATTTAAAATTAGTTCTCATAGTTGCTTTCAAATATTTTTTAGTAGCGCATTACACAATTGTTCTCGAACTTTCGTTGTAAAGATTAGCTGTACAACGAAGCAGCTATAATGAGACGTATTATTATTATTAACTCTTTGTCATCAATTTATCATGTATCGTCATAAAAAAAACATTACAACTACGACCTTTTTTAAAACTCAACTGTTTGTATTTCTGCCAAAAAACAACAATTTCTGTTGCACAGTAAAAACCGATTCCAAACGTTTTTGCTATCGGCAATATAAATTACTTTCTAATTCGAGAGATAAGTTGCTACAATTCATTTTACTAGCACAAGCTCCGACAGCCGTGATCGTCTAGTGGTTAGGACCCTACGTTGTGGCCGTAGTAACCCAGGTTCGAATCCTGGTCACGGCAGCGTTCAGCTGTCGCGGCGGAGCTTATATTTTTATTTTCTTTGGTATTATCTAAGATTTAAGTTATTTAATAAGTAGACAACAGATATTTATTGTAATTTATCCAAAACGCCTTGCTTTTAACTCCCTGTCGCATTCGTCTTGGCATTCCTTTATGCTGGCGTAAATGTTGACGTTGTTCCCCGGAGAGTCACACTCGTCGGACCATCTAATCAGGATACACTCCTGACCATTCGCATCGTAAGCATACCTGGTCAAGAAAGAACATGAATTTATTTTTCGTTTTTTAAATGACACTGACAAAGTTGCAGATAACAGCCAGTTATACAGGGTATCCCAAAAGGTTACGTACATATGAAGGGGGATGATAGGGGTGGTCACAAGGGTCACCAGAAAAATAAAATAAAAATTCCCCTATGGGTATTAAAAAAAATAAATGGCATTTTTTAAAAACTTAAAAATTTTACACCTTCTGGGGCAATCCCCCTTCCTATGTACGTAACCTTTTGGGACACCCTGTATGTAAATATATTCTGCATAAGTAAAATACGATATACATAAATTACTTACTAAAACCGACTTGCGATGTTGTGTCTAAGATATTTGGTGTAAGGTAAGAGTGTTCAGTGCAGAAAGCTCCGTTGGTGTACATAAATTATAGATTTAGAACAAGATATTGAAACGTACCATTTGGAGAAGACTGCGCTTTCTTCGACAACACATTTCGGATCCACCGTGTCGGAATTACATTTCAGGGGATTTACTGGAATAGTAGAATAATATTAACCATAGAGTTATTTAGTTAATACTGTAATATTACATGTAGTAAATTGATATATAAACACGGCTAAACACTCACGTATATTCGTCCGGTGGCGGCACCGACTAGTTTCGAGCCCATCGGGGGCCCTTCATCAGGATGCGTGGTACTGGCCACCGGACGAATATACGTGAGTGTTTAGCCGTGTTTATATATCAATTTAGTATAATGTCTCACGAAAGTTTGAATAATTTAATTATATGTAGTATTTAACATTTAAACTTACTTGCATCCGAACTGAAAAATGCGCAGGAAATAAAAAATAACAAATAAGTTGCATACATTTCGCTAATGTTAACCTACTGTATGAGAATTCCTTTTTTTCTTCATACGAAAACATAAATAAATAATATATATAGTTTTTTATAATTAAATTACTAGCGTACAGAAATTATCGCATGGTCTATGTTTCAATAAACAGCGATTTATTTTATCAGATAGAAACAAGGAATTTTAAAATTAAAATTATATAAATCTGACAACCCCAAGAATACGAATCGAAACACATCTCACATTAAATCAAAGAAGTTATTAAGGCTGCAGGAAACTACTCTCATGAATTATGTACTTTAGAATCTATAGTTGAATGTTAACTCGACCTATATACATTCGTACATATTTTTACATAAAAAAGGGTCTTGAAAGTGATCCTATTAGGGTTCCGTTTTTTTTTTCGAGGTACGGATACTAAGCAGAAAGCTCCAATGTCCCTTTAGTATGAAGGGAGACTAGAGACTGCTATAACAAACCAACCATTAGTTATCATTGTATCTGTCTATTTCCATTAACTTAAATCTATGTACATACTTTAAGAAATTAGGAACTATAATAAATTGTATATAAGATACATGTTTACCCAACGTATATATTTACCAATGGCAATAAATACATTTGAGTCAAAAATAAAATAAAATTATTAACAAATATTATTTTATTGTTGGTCAGCAAATTAATTACCATCGTTGAAGAACATGTCAATTTTTCTAATGACTATTATCACATTCAGCTAAACATATATCTTGATTTGTGAATATGTTTGTGTCAACTTCGGGCGAAGCACATTCGTCGGACCAATGCACTAAGTCACAATTCCCGCTGTCCCAGTCGTAAACATACCTGAAACATAAGAAAGCCTATAATTGTTATTAAAATTGTAATTGTAAAAATATTGTTATTAACACCTGTACTAAGGGTTAATTAAATAGTTACTAAAGGTACGCTCGCGCCATTTTTTTTAATTTTTTAAGGTGCAAATGAGCAAGCGCCCACCTAAATTTCCCAAAACATTATACGACGTGATCGACACCTATCTACATTTGCAGATGTAGAAGGGACATAAAAAAGAGCATTGTTCCTATGCGTCCCTTCCTCAGCCAACTCAACCAGCCCTTCGCATCTATTTATTACAAGAAAAGAGTAGGAAGGGGAAGTGGACTAAAGGCACGCACACTGCAAACGAAACGCGCAATTGTTTTCAATTGGGCCCATCCGTGCAACAGATGTTATTTTTGATGTCTCTACCACTGTTGTAGAAGAGAGAGAGAGAGAGAAAGAAAGAGAGAAAGTGTTACAATTCAATCTCCATTCTCTTACTCTTATGACGTACTTAGTAGGGCCATTTAAAAAAAGAATACCATTTAGAGCTTGGTGTGGCTTCGTCGACAAGACACTGTATTTCTGTTGGTTTTTCATGGCATTTTCTCGTATCAACTGTGAAAATGGTTAAACTTAAATAATAAAATCTTAATATATTATAACATACGAATATATTAAAAACATATAAAAAGCTTACGAGCTTCTAATAGCGTCATACAAAATAGTAAGACGAAAGAAATAAATAAAATAAAATTCATCTTTACAGTATTACCGTTACCGTTTTACAATATGTATCTCTCTTTCTTTCACGCGGCTTATATTTTTATTCAAATTTAACGGTAAATTAAATAAAACAAATTGTTTTAATATAAAATTCGATAAATTATAATGAGTTAACCCATGGTCCATGTTACGAACTTTTGTGACTATGATTATAAACACGGATAAACTATTTTGTAAATACCATAACCTGTGGTGATACAGCAGGCTTACGTTGACTTCTGACATCATAACCTCCAAAGAACACCAGCCCCAAGTACGATGAGGAAGTTTTGCGATCTCCAATTGAATAAGATAGGAACTCTTTGAACTGCTTTAATCACACTGGTGCCGTTTACAATCTTCCAATTGCTATAAAAAAACAAATGACTGTGTTTAGTAATGAGGTGTCAAATAACACAGGTACTTTTAACTGTGTAGTTATTACCCTATGTTGTGGCCATAGTGACGCAGGTTCGAATCCTAGTCAAAGCAGCATAGAGCTGTCGCGGCAGAACACTTATTTTTACCCCTGTCTTTAGTTTACGCCATAATACTTTTATATTGAGGATATTTTGTTTCTTCATTTTTTCTCTTTCTAAATCACGTTATGTATACCAAAAACCAAGTACTATTTTCAACGTTGAAATACATAAGATAATTTTCTTTTATCGTTTCTTTATTAATTCATCAAACAAAATGCAATATAAGTAAAAAGTACACTTATCAAATATATTATTATATTAAGTTTAACGATATTGAAAAATGCTAAATTGGAATTAAAAAAAAAAGTCCCGCCGCGACAGCGATCCGCTGCCGTGACCAGGATTCGAACCTGGGTTACTACGGCCACAACGTAGGGTCCTAACCACTAGACGATCACGGCTGTCGGGACAGTTGCTTGTTACACAAATTGGGAGTTTGTTATCGTTTTAAATTCGAAATATGATTACAAAATCGGTTACGGTCGCTGCTCAATACTCGGCAACAAAACATTGGTTCCACTTTCACTAACAGCAAAACATTTTCATGATTTCGAGTATAAAATTGATGTTATGCTGTTTAAATTCTTTTACTTTTTAGACTTTATATACTTAAAATATAATAAGATGTCTCTACTTTACCTAATTTGTACTTAAATGTACAATTACTACCTTTCAAGCACCCTAGCGAAACCTTTTGAAGGCAGTTTCCATTTAAAGTCTTATATTAGTCCTAAATTAACCCTTAAGAGGCCAAGTTTTGAGTTAAACTTTTATTCTGTGCCTAATTAGCACAAATAATGCGTTCAAAGGATAAATTTCGTTAGGCAGCTGTAGGCGGAATAACATAATATATATTATTCTTAAAAAAAAATCTTTACCTATGGAGTCTTTGAGGAAATTAAAATTTTTAAATCGAACTTCGTATAAAGTCTAGGACGTAAGCTTCATCAGTTTTCAAAGCTTTGTATCTGTTCGTAGTTGATGCTACGGTAAAGCCTCGAAGCGATACTGGAATTGAGTTTGTGTCGCGGTAACCAAACGGTAATCCTTTGCTTTGCGTCCCTGATATCTACATAGATACACTAAACCAAGTTTACCGGAGTGTAGGTTCTTTGACTGCGTGAAATTAAAAAAAAACAATCTTCTTTCAAATAGCTACATAGTAAGCACATAGAGTAAGGTGTATCTTTTTTTATGGTGAGATAGGAAAATGTAATTTTATTGATACTGGCACTTTGTCACTTGTGTTCTTAATTTAAAAACGTCACCGCTTTTTATTTTTTAGCCAACTTTAAAAAGAAGGAGGTTATCAATTCGTCTTTATGTTCTTTTTTTATGTGTGTTACCGCGTAATTAAAAAAAAATGTAGTCTAAACGTATATTTATATTCTTCGACGTTTATAAATGACGTGAAAATTCTTTTTAAGTAATGGGAAAACAAATGATCTTGAGAATATCGCGGCAAACGGAAAGTGTTGGAAAAATAAGAAGCCATTTATCTTGGTAACGAACGATCGAAAAAATACGCGTTGAAGATAAAAGATAAACAATTGTGAGGGTCTGAGAGGACATTGGACGAATGGAATGCTATTTATTCAACGTGAACGTCCACGTTCGCAAATATCTACCGGTCTTGTTCATTGTGGGATATTTTATATAACGATAGAAAGAATTTTAATAAAAGCACTCCTTGTCCATCTGCTTACGTGAACCTGAACCATAAAAGTACTCCTTAAAAAAACTTAACAGTTATCACTTGAGAAAAATTGTAGGAAAAAACACAAAAACAAAATTTGCAATCTTATACCAAATATTTAACTTTAAATTTCTTTTCAGAGCTGTTTCTAAAATATTTTAATAAAGTATTGTTTTCTGCAATTTTACTGAATATTGTTTTGTCGTGCTTTTTAAAAATTTGTTCCGCTTTCCCGCGCTTTGTGTACCACGTGACATCTAGTTAGAACCGTGACTAATAAATTTTAAAGATAATTCCGTGAGATTTCCTTCACTATGTATATAAACAAACCACGATAAGTAGAACGACGATAACCCTTTGATCGATTTGACGCCATGTTGAATATTTGTTTCATTATCTTTACTTTATCGATGATTGTAACTCAAATTGAATCATGTGAGTGTTTTTTTATGTTAAATATTTTATTATATAGTATAATACTACTAGAATACGTTGTTCTAAAACTTTCATTTTTCATATTTCTCTTATTTGAATTACCAAATGCAGGCCAAATGACTTTCTTATAGAACTGTAATAATTAGACAAATCTTACTAATATTATAAATGCGAATGTTTGGATGGATGGATGGATGTTTGAAAGTATCTTTAGAACGGCTGAATAGATCTCTATGAAATTTGGCATACATATAGAACACATTCTGGAAGCCTATGTGTTGACTACTAATTATGTTTTTTTTTTATTCCGCGCGGACGGAATCGCTGGCGACAGCTTTTTAGAATAAAAACATCTAAATAATTAAAAAACAATTAATAATTTTTAATCTACATTTTATGCGTGTGCTTTATATTACAGTGGATTCAGAGTTATGTAAGGTACTCGTAAAGGAAAGACACTGCGTCATAGAATACGCTGCAAGAGACAGATGGCCACATACTGAGCGGTATCATAAATTATTTTTATAGAAAAAATTGAAATTATTTAAATATAATATTAGTTACTATTAAACTTAATAAGCTCCTTCTAGCTAGCTAATAGACAATGAATGTTCGCGGTAAACTCCGAAACTACTGAACCAATTATTATCAAATATTGTAAGCATCTATATTTTGGTCCAACTTGTTGGACGAAGTGGTGGGCAATAGCTAGTATCTGTATATTTTAAGTTTGACCTTTTTATAATTGAAACAGGCAAACGAGCAAGCGGTCTCTCGGTATCGCTAAAATAGCGAAATAGCCACTGCCTATAAACATCTACAAGAAGCAACAAAGTATATTTCTCTATGCCAAGCCCACTTCCCCAGTTACTTCCATTTAAAGTGGGAAAAGAGCAACTGGCTACCTAATTTCGCCAAAATAGCGAAGTTACCAATATCCATTGACGTTCGCTTATTACAATAGGATAACAGAATATTTGTTTTTTTCTGTTTAGTTACTCATACGATTGGGACCAGAAGAAATGTATACTAATAAGATGGGCGGAGCACTGCGGCGCCGCGCCCGCTGGCACCAACAACTTTGCCAGCGAGACCGAATGCAGCAACGAATGCGGAGGATGGGCTTGATAAAATACGATACTTATATTCCTTTACTGTTAATTACTTTGGAATTATTATAATTAAGTCGTTAAAAAGTGACTTTTTATAATTTTATTTTGATAGAAAAAAATCCCTTTATCAAATCCTATATGTTTTTAATTGGCATAAGTTGTTGAAATTCAATAAGACGTGATATAATAGGGAATAATATCCTACAATCAGACTGTGTGAAGAGCATTAAGTAGATACTTTACAGGTTTCCTAGCTCCATTAGACAAAAATTGAATGACATTTTTCATTTTGAATATGAAGATCGCGATGTCTAGACCGTTGAATAGGGATTTTTTACCTTTAATAGATAGAACAGATGGCAAATTCTCCAATACTAAGTACATTCTCGGAATCTATGTAAACGATTTGTTTGTTTGGGAAGACCTTAACTGATTTAATTAAAATACTTTTTGTCAAATATGATTTTTCTTGCTTCACGAATCGAAAGAGGTAGCGTATTAAGACGTAACCAAGGACAAAAAATTAAAAGATATAAAAATGAATTCTTAAATATTTCTTGTAACCTAAAAAAGTAAATTTCTAACTCTGAATAATTATCTATACTGAAATAGTATAACTATGACGTATTAATAAATTAATTATTACCTTCTTTCAGTCAGCAGTCGGTCAAGAGATGAAAAAATAAAACTTATTTACAGTAGAATTGATACATGTGTACCAACGCCATCTATGTATTGACACTTGAAATATTTGCTACTTTCTTGTCATCATTCTCATTGATATTTTAGTTATATATGGTCTGGTACTGGTCACTTTTGGATTGTTCATATTCTTTTGTTAAATAAAGGTCTAGCTCATAAAGGTTTTTTTAATAAAGTCGTCTCGTACTCAATCCAGATTAATGTCATTATTATAAACGGTAAAATTTGCGTTTTGTGATTATGGCAATCCTGTAAAAACCACAGAGTAAATAAGTAATTACACCTAAAAATGCAATGTCACATGTTACATAAGAGGTTGGAACACATTGGACTTCAAAAATCTAAATTACTAAAACTCTTCGATAATTACTGTTAAAAATACTGCTGTTTAAGAATAGCAGAGAAATTAGTTATCACTCAAAGTATTTCTAAATGCAGACAGGAAAACTAATTCTAATTAATACAGTTGACACTTTACTCGACTACGCTTCTTTATTAACTTTTGAGCCTTAAAAGTACTATCACAACTGAAACTTTGGTTGGGTTAAAACTCTTTTCCGATGAGACCACTCAATCTGGTCCAATTTGAAAGAATCCAAAAAAATTAAAATGCAAAATAATTTTCTGTCTATACTCTATGGTATTTTATGCTATATTGTCTATACTTGAAAAAATTGAAGTTGGTACTATACTTGCGCTTTTGTAGTCGCGTTTTGAGAAAAACTATGCTAAAATGCTATTATAATTTGTTGTTATAGAATTGGTGCCTCAGAATTCGTTACAAACACGTGCTGTGCAAAGACAATTGGATATTTTTTTACAATTATATGATTACCTGCTTTCATTTGATAAATTGCGCTAGACCGCATATATAAAATGGCAGCCCTACCACGTAGAATAATCAAAGAGACACAGCGACTTATGCAGGAACCCGTGCCGGGTATCAGCGCAGTGCCTAGTGAAACCAATGCCCGTTATTTTCACGTAATCGTTACCGGCCCGGAAGACTCTCCATTCGAAGGTGGACTTTTCAAATTAGAACTTTTCCTGCCAGAAGACTATCCCATGTCGGCGCCTAAGGTTAGGTTTATTACGAAAATTTACCATCCGAACATAGACCGACTGGGTCGTATATGCTTGGATATATTGAAGGACAAATGGAGCCCAGCTCTACAGATACGCACGGTGCTGCTGTCGATCCAGGCGCTGCTGTCGGCGCCAAACCCGGACGACCCACTTGCAAACGACGTAGCCGAGCTGTGGAAGGTGAATGAAAGCGAAGCAATTCGAAACGCAAAGGAGTGGACACGAAGATATGCCATGGACAACTGAGCGGTCGCGAGCCTCGCGCCGCCCGCACGCACCCATCAGTGCCTATCCCACGCGCGTGACTCGAAGGGGACGAAAGTAAAAAAAATATCATGATTTTAAGAGTGCAAGTTACGTTTACATCCTAGGCCCAATAACTTGTGAAGAGACAATTGTGAAGAAATTTATATAAACGGTGGGCGAGGGCGCAGCGCGCGGCCTGCGCCCGCCGGCAACCTTAGCATTTCTACAGCCTCGCCCAGAGCCGGCAGCCCGCCTGCCTGACTGCCCGACCCTGCCCCCTCATTGTTTAACCCTCACTTGTAGCTTCGTTATGATATTAGGTATGCATATTTTTTTACTATAATTAAAAATAGTGAATATGGAGTATCAGGAGACTTAAATGTATATATTTCATGGTTATTAAATTTGGTTAATTTTATACAAAGGAAAAAGTGTCATCACAAAGTTCAACGCCTTTGTAAAAGAATCTTATCTATTGTATTTTGTTGCAAGACCTGATAAACTATAGGAAACAACAATACTATCAGATCTGTAGCTAACTAAAGCAGAACTTTGTTTTTGAACTCTATAACAATTGTTTTAGGTAACTTATTTTCCATTTCCAAACACTGTTCACTTAATTTTATTGTCTCTTATGTGTTCTCTATTTGTGTCTTGTATTAAAAGAGTCATCAACAAATTGTATTTATATTACATTTCATTTGGCTTTGTGAGCAAATTTCAAAAATACATAATATAAAAAAGCTAATTAATATTTTATTTATAACAATCTCTTAAAACTAGTCATCTATAGATAAGATCTAACATATTCACTTTACGAGGACAGACAGGAATCGTTTTATGATAGCTATCATAACATGTTTGTTACAATGTGTTTGTCCAACAATATTATAAGAAAGAAAGCTTGTGGTTCCCAAGATAACAATATGTCAAATTAAATATTTTTGTGATTGTGCACTTCCAATAGTAATAGTCTATATAAACAATTGTTGATTTAAGCAAGACTAGAAGTTGTCACCCACAACTCTGTCTATGCGGAATAAAAGAAACTTAATGAGTAGTCTATGTGTTCTTACAGACTATGTTCTACATCTGTGCAAAATTTCATCAAGATCTGTTTGGCTGTTCCGGTGATACCTTCAAACATCCATCTATCAATCCAAACATTGATATTTATATTAGTAGGATGAGTATGCCAACCCATAAAGTACCGTAGTTACTTCTTGAGTTCAAAATGGTTTATAATTATTTATGTATTGAAATTACATTTAAATTTTTCCACCAATATACTTGTCCACTAAGAGTACCCATAAAGATTTATACTATTTTGCGAGTGACAAAATAATATCCCTCGGAAACATGAAACCTAATGGTAAGTAAACAAGTTACAAGTCTTGTATGAGACCAAAGTGTAGAAAAACATGATTTCTCAAATAGAATGAGAGACATTGCATAAGTTTTGGAACAAGTGCTTTGGTGTGCATTTTCATGAAGAAACATATAGATTGGTAAGTATAAACATTGTTTTTACCTATTGCGGCAGCGGCAAAGTTAATGATATAGGATTAATACGGTAAGTAGTACTTTTTAGGTTAGGTTATATATAGACCTCTCGGTTGATGTCAATAAGAGCCATTCTTATATAATTTCAATGTCTCACTGGCGAATAATACTGTTGCAACCTGCACGTATTTGTGAAGAAATTCAAAAATATATGTGAAGTCAACCAACTTACATAGTGCCAATTTGGTGGATTAAGGTCTATTCAACCTTAACCTTATGATAGGATCCGAGACCTTTGATGTGCAAGTATATGAGTTGACAAGTATATAATTAAACATTTTAGATTGAAAGCTGATTTAAAGTTCCCTAGGAGCCCTAGGTTAATCATCATCACCAGAAGCTGAATGATGTAAAGAAGTATTTAGGCATTGATTAAAATATACATAAGTGATGTGGGTAGACAGAAAAAAGAATAGAAAGTAGCATTTAACACGCCAAGCCTATATTTTAAACAAATTCACTGAGATAAATCCAGAATTTTGTTGGAATATAGATATTTTTCCCAAAAGGTATCTCTGCCATTGTAAATTAAATAGGAGTAATTAACGTATTTTATTTGGTATACCTATATATTTGATATTTATTCAATTAAGAGGAAACTACAAAATCAGTGAACATTTGTCGGACTACGTCATCCAGAATATTGCGGCGAAGTTTTTGGTGGTCGCGGATCACCTGACCATTTTTTGTATGCCTTTTTTCTAAGCACGCAACATTGCATGTACTGATGACGCAACAAAGCCGTGACGTTTTCTCTTTTATATAAAAATTGATTTGATACAAAAAATTGTCACGTGATTTTAATAAAATGTGACTTTTTGAGTAGGTACTTTATAACCAGCAGCCTGTTTTGATTCGCACAGGCTCCGAGCCCGTTGGGGACGTATAGTAAGCTGAAGATAAGTAGACAGTAATAACGATTTTTTATTTACTTATTTATTATGTTAACAATATTACTCAGAAGTAAAGCATTCTGATTGTGAAATAATATTTGAAATCAGTTTAATGGTTAAATTTATTTGTTACATACATACAAATCTCTTTATAACATTAGAGTAGATAAATCCTAGGCAGACTAGTGTTCGCCTCCACGACCTAGACTACGTTGCTGACTCGTGTGAAGCCTTTGAATGCCGTCCTAGAGCCGTCGAAGCATTGAGCGAAGTTATTTGTTGTTTTTTTTTCAATATTATATCCAACCAATGTTTTATTGAATTTATTACAATCACGTTAGTTATTGTACTTAAATATTGTTTATTTATTTGATTTATTTTAAAACCCAAAGTTCAAAAACTAAATTCTTTTTCAAGTTATAATTTATGGGGTGAGACATCGGAGCCAGCAATGGACGAAGAAATAAATGTGGTCGCTAATTATCTTTCCAATTCGATTTTAACTTGACTGAGAAGTCAAGGCCGTCAACTAATCTTCCCTTATCTACACATCTGTTCGTGGTTACATTAGTCTGGTAGAAATTATCTAAAATACGATCGGCCGACATAATTCTAAAAACAATAATGTGACGTAAGTACTACCGAATAATGCAGCACAATATACGTAGAACTGTCGCATTGTTTTTGAATATATTGTACCGAAATTAACAATTCAAATCTGTCGGTAGTCTGGAACAAAAATGAGATCATAACTTTAAATAACAGCGTCGCTCTTACTCAGTTCTGAAAAACTGACTTATAGTTATATAGAGTTTTATAGTTGTTTCTTGGAACACAGACATTTTTTCTGAAATTCTCTTCTATATTATCGTTTTTTTTTTGTGAATTTACAAAATTAATCTTTATTAATTTTTTCAATGGCTCTTGCCAGCGTTAATGTTCCATTTATTTCAAAAAAACATCTGATGCGCTGATATTTAATTTCCTTTTTAAACTGATAGAAAGGATGGGAAAAATAAAACATTATGTATAAGTTTGTTCAGTTTATTCTTAACTTTAATGCAGACTAGAATAATACTCTTAGAAATGAGAACAACAATAGTTATTTCACATGTCACAGTGTCACCTACCGTATGTACCAGCTTTCGATAGACGCTATTTATTATCTGTGGGTATTTAATGTAAATAAATCTTATTCACAACAGCTAGCAATATAAAATTACACTTCAGATTACATATAGTATATCTACATATAACTTGAACGTACACAGCTCACGAAATAACCGTGAAATTCCACTCCGAAGCCCATGTGTTAAAACATGTTGTCTCTGTCTCTCTCTTTTCTAAGAGATTGAGAGGGATAAAAATATATTTTAATACAAGTTGTACGACAGTGGAAAACCACGGTAACAGCAGACCAGTGAGGACGTGACGTCATTTGACAATAGTTTAAGGATAAGAAAATTAGAATAAAATAAATAAATAAGTTTTATTACTTTAAAGTTTTTTGATAAGAATCTTATTAAAAACATTAGCCAATCGTGAATTTAAAAAATAATACAATGTCTCTAATATAACAATGTACTAAACTTTTTTCTTTTTAATAGTAATAAATTAATATTTAGGTTAGAACATCAGTCGACACTGGCCGTACGAAAAAGATAACGTATACATAAAAAGAGAAAGAAGGACCTACACATTGGAAAAGCATTTCATGAAGATAGAAAGAAGCGAGTTTCCGTAAGAAGGATACGTACGAGTTACTGATACACATTTTTTTTAATAATAGTATTTTTATATATAAATAAAAATAAAAACTCGTCCTCAGAGCGCTAAGCTTGACTAAGAACAGTACATACATATTGATATAGGTTATAATGCTATAGCCACACTATAAAATTTACAAAATATGACATATCTTTTGAAACGCTACACGAAATAATGCTTTTTTATAATTAATATCTACTAATCAATTCATTTTTTTATTAAATATGATCACTTTTCGCACTCGCTATATCATGGAGGCGGCGTATATTTTTAAATTTATTTTTATAAGGGGCAGATATATTTTAATATTGGCAGTATTGAATCGCTCGCAATGTCGACAACTTGCGTACAACAATGTTACCATATTCATTTATGTATTTTTTGAAGGTTTACATTTGAAGTCGACATTGTAGAAATTTCAATAAACTGTATCTGTTTTGCTATACATCTTAATTAGCATTACAAGATTTTGAACTATTATTGAATATAAACATCGACTAAAATCTTCTAAAAAAATATTAACAACATAAAAAAATACATAGGTGCTAGAAATAAACAACTAAAATGGAATGGTATTAAAGAATGTATGGACGATACGATGCGAAAACTAAGCATTAAAATTAAAAAATAATATGGCAACAATTTTGATTAAATACTTAAAGACTAACACATAAAAATCGAGATTATCTATGGCAAACATGGCATGCTAACGACACTTATAATATTCAGACGATCTCCGCTATTGTCCACTTAATTAAACATATAGATGCCAGATAATCAGTTAATATAGTATATTATCTAAGCAGATATGAGTGGTTTTATATATTTAATTTACACATAATAAATCATTTTTTTTTCAAGGAATATTTGACAATGTCATGATCATGAATATTTCTTCAATGCATTTGCACTTGCTATTTGATCTTTGACACATTTATAAAAAAATAACAGACTTCAATAAAACGTCAAAGCATTCTTAGAGAGCAATAAAATATTAAAATTGTAAGCAGGTTTATTATTTTAAATGAAGTATGCGGTTTCTTTAAATACACTTTAAATTAAAAAAAAATGATTGCGTGGTAATGGGAAACCACGGATATATAACCTATAAATACGTAATACGAAGCACAAAAGTGATGCGAAAAGAGGCCGTAGGAGTCTTTTTTCGGGTAAATTTCCTCAGTCTTTTACAATATCGACTCTCGTTTATCTTTAGATTGGATATTTCACTTATCTATGGCTGCAACACATTAAAATTACTTTAAAACATACTAAGATTGATTAAATTTCATTCAAATAGATGGACATAAGTTATACATAGCAAGTACAAACACTTGACAAATGGCGATATACAACTTATAACTAACTTAATTTAGCCAAGTAAGCATTGTAAGCATTTTTGGACTTCAGATTAGTTCCCGTGGTGGTGTCAAAGAGTATGCACCGACAGCCGAGCCAATATCTAGTATAAGTATAAAAATGTCAGCTGTGGAATATCCTATACAAAAATAATGTTCCTTTTACCATAGACATTTTATCGAAGTCACGGCAAATCAAGGCGGGATTATTTTTTCATGTTTTTGTATATTAAAATTCAGGATTTGGATATTTTAGTTTCTTAACTTGTGATTACATAGTTATCACAGTTGATAGTAGTACTGAAAAAACAGAAATTCTAGAATTTAAATCAAATCATAGACAAATTATTTAATAAAGTACTTCGTTTTGAGTCCTATGTTATTGCCAACACTTTCATATTACATCAATGAATAAAGAATATTTTCTTTCATAAATGGTAGTAAACAATAGTCGATTTAGATTTTTTTGCCACCGGTACGTTGTGTTCCCATGGACTGTGTTGGTGGGAGTGGCCCAGCTGTCGAGGGGCGTGGCGCTGCGCGGGTGGGTGGAGCGAGGGGCGGAGGGCGGGGCGCGTGAGGTAAGCAGGCACTTTGTATCGGCGGCGAACGCGCACTTATATGAACACGGGGTTCTCCTGCCCGGTCAGCAGCCGGAACATAGACGTCGGCATCGTCTTCATTAATATCTGGAAGTGGAAGTTTATAAGTCAGTTGTGAGTATTGTGAGTGTTGTAGTGTGGTGGTGTGGAGAGCTCACCTCGCCTACAGAGGTGGCGAGAAGGTTGACGATGCGCTCGTGCGGCACGGCCACCACACTCTGCGCGTTTATCTCTATGATGCGATGTCCCACGCGCACGCCGCCGCGCTCCGCGATACCGCCGCGCAGCAAACTACAAATCTACAAAAACAAAAGTAAAGCTCAATTTTTCGCAGTTATGACTAACATATTTAAATGTTGATTTCTACCATGAATCGTTATTATTTTTAATCGCCTTTGTAGAAGATTAGTCATTACCCTGTCTCATAGTACACCTTTTTTCTCCTGTACGATTTTAAATAAAGAAAAGGTCATAGTATCTCACCACTCCATTCTGCACACTGAATCCTAGCTGGTACTTGGTGTCCGGCCGCTTTATCTTGACCTCCACGACGGGCGCGCACGGCACCACCGTCAGTTTCACCACTGTCTGGTTCTTGGAGTTCTTTATATAAGTTTGACATGTCGACAGTGGCAGTCCCACCAGGCTCACTCCATTTATTGCTATTATTTGATCTCCTGCAAGAAAAGCAATAGAATGTTTCATGAGTCCCATATAGAATGCGATACATCGGCCCTCTGAAAGTTTGCTGTAAAGATTTTTTGTGTAATTTCCTTACCTATGTTAAGTTGTCCGCATCTCGCCGCTGCTCCAGCCGGCGCTAGGTTGGCGATCACCACTGTGGGCAGCATGGACCCCCAGCCGGACTCCACCACGACTACGCCCAAGATCTCCCCCTTGGCCTTGGGCACCACCACCTCCTTCTGCAGTTCCTTCTTTGCGAACATTTGCAGCTCGTCGCCGAAGATCTCCTGGCTGTTCAGTACCTCCTGGTAGTCCATTTCCTTCACGAAGCTGTGGTCCTCGATGCCGTTGGCTTTGAGGAACTCCATGTACGCGACTTGGAATGCTTGCCCGATCGATTGAGCTATAAATTGCGCCTGAAACCAAGAGTAAGTTTATTATTTACTGGTAACATTATTGACAACGTGCGCCTAATCCTATGACCTCGAGAATAAAACTAAATTGACTCACCTCTTCACTTTCGAAAACGTGACATATCATCTTTGGAGTACGGTTCAGTTTTGGCTGATCAGAATCGTTCTCGTGGGGGACGAACCTCCTCCTGGCCATGAGGACGACGAGGTCGCCTATATCGGCTATGTAGGAGATGGTCCGTAGCGCGTGATCCATCATTATCTCCTTCAGTTCCGTGTTCAGAACCATTATCTTCTCCGTAGATATGAAAAGATCTACTTCTGTACTCGGTTGGTTTTCACCTTCGGGGGCCTGCGGACAATAATAATTGGGTAATATTTAAAGTTCATGGAGGATCTAAAAAGTCAACGTTAAAATATAAAAATCTGGAAGTCATAAAAGAAACCATTCTGTGTTTTGAACAGAATGTTGGTGACCAAACTTTCTGTAAAGAAATAAGGAAAACCAGTTGTGAATTGTGATTCGCCCAATTATTTTTTTTGGCATACTCATTTAACAATTTATTATAATAAGTACATACTGGAAAAATAGCCTTTTTATATTATATAAAGCTAATTGCATATATATCAAAATAAAACAACACTTACCAAAGCCTGTTGACATCCAATGATAGCAAAGGAAACCGGCATTAATATATTAGTAAGTTAGATTCAAATTAAACAAGCTTAAATAATTCTCATATAAACTACATGATTAGTGTTAGAGAAAGCCAGTGAGATTTTTAAAATTTAAAATGACCTGTATTTTGTAATAAAAACGCCAGAATTTTTTTATATACGCTTACTAAGATTTCCTAATGAGTAACAATAAGTTTTATTGTGTACAATTATTGTCTGATAAGTAACTTTGTCAAAACACGATGCAATTTCCATCTAGCAAGTTCTCGATTGAGGCATAAATTTCTGAATTCATTTTTAACCAACCTTTCTTTTATCATTTTACTTTTGTTTTGTCTATGCTACGCTGTTGAAATATTCACTTAAAAAAATTCCATAGACAACAACTAGCATGTAATATTTTATCCGCAACCTTGATTTTAGTGACGGCCTCCTCCACCATGTTCTTTTTGGGCCTCTTCTTCCTGCGGCGCGAGTCCTCATCCACCTCGACGGAGCCGAGGAATGAGAGACGGAAGACGGCCGCGGGCGCCGCATACACGCCCGAGTACGGCCCCTCGCAGCCCCACTGCGCCCGCGCCACCGGCAAACACCCGCGCTACCGCTAACCTCCTCGCACACTCGCGCACTTCTCACCCAACTTATATATTCTGTGCCCACCACTAACCTCTATAAATGGACTGGCTATAAAACGTGATAATTTGTGCCTAACTGATTTTCACCATGTAGGCGCTGACCGTTACGGTTTAAAGCGGCAGCACCAGTCGAACTATTAATATAGATAGAATTAACTGTCACGTAACATCAACAGGCGCGGTGAAATTGGAATGAAACAAAAACTGTCATTTCAAGCAATCACCTATACATTTATAGAGATCAGTGGTGCTCACGGATGGGTTTGTTTTTAACGGAAACGTATTGTTTTGCTCGCTTGTAAAATTATTTTTGATGGTTCCCTGTTTTTTGTTTAATGGATTATTTTATAACGTCAATTTATGTACGTAGTGAATGAACGTCTGTAGAAAACGTTAATCGATAAACCAGTATCAACTTCGTCCGTTCAGATAAATAAATTAACAGTTTAGGTAAGTTAATAGAAGTATTATGAATTGAGAATATTTAAAATACGTTTATTTTTATGGTTTATTCTGAAAGAAAGAAATTTCTTATTTTTACGCGACGATTATGATTTTACTTCAACTTTTAATTAATACAGATTGTGTAAAATATGATTTTAGAAGACATTTGAGACTCCCGCGGTATTTATAACCTACAAGATTTAATTTCAACAAAAATTACTTGCATTGTTTTATAAGTAGTATAATTATTTTTGTAATCAGCATTTATATGCCTATAATTAGAACTTTTATTTTTATATAACACTGACGGATAATCAGCGTATCTTCTTTATTACAAAACAAATTGACCGTAATACACAATACACGTCAGATCTTGTCAATATGCGCGAAAGCAAGCAAAACAAATCCCAATACATCACAAAAATCGACAATGATGTGAGAAGCGGGCGAGTTCCATCGTTACGTATGAAAGCGGACTTAACTTAAAATTCAACTTTAAAATTATTAACCGTAAGGTCTGTTATTGTGCGGCTGCGTTAAGCTAGGCCCATGTCCGTGCGTCCTGCGTGTGGGCACCTCGGCCGGTGTGAATCGGGACGTCTAATGCTTACGTGCGATAGCTTACTGTCAACTGGATGAACAATTACCAGCGGGCAAGCCAGTGATGCGACGTACAAACCCATACAATTTCAATGAATACGAATTACTTGATTCATAACACCAATTGATGAATTGTGAACGCCATTATAATGTTAGCAAAATTATAGCCTAGTTTAAAATTACTCAGGTAACAATTTTTGTGTATTTAATCAGATAATTTAATCTATATCAAAATAAGCGGTAGTAAAATAGCATGCACAATTTTTAATCTGTGACAATAATGATAACAGATGGCGCTGTAGCTCTGAAGCCCGCAAACATGCTTAAAAGTACAGATAAAAACCATCCGTCAATGAAAACCTTGTACCTGGCACTAAACAAAGGTTCAAACAAACACAAAGCATGGCACAAGCGGAGCAAGCGACAGACAAACATATCCAGAGGAGGTTAGCCGGCCAATACGGGATCCGACAATCGGGTCCGACAACCGTCGGCTCAGGGGTGAGGAGGGCACTGAAAAAAATACTCTAGTGCGATGTCAATACGGGCGTAAACTGTCTGGCGGCCACGCACTTCACTCGACTGGTACATATCGAGCATTCTAGGAGTTCCCCTATTCAACTAACTTGTTGGTATTATAATTGGTACATGTTAGGATACAAGGATTAAAAAAAGGATATCTCACTAGCATTCTCAAATCACTAATTCTAGTGAGCATGAAATTACGTACTTATAAACATTTATAAATAAAAAAAATCATAAATTAATATTTATTTTGCCACAAACATATTAAGAATTAAGTAGGTAAAATTGTGCAATAAAATTGTGCTACCAAAGTGTCCAAATAAAGTCAAAATTTTTGACTCGGGGTAGAGGTTGGTAACAAACATTTGTCATATTGGTCCAACATTGCACAAATTAAAGCGTATTTGTGCATACACAGTGGGATGTAATTTCATGCTCTTAGTATAAAATAACTACTAAATATACATGATATTTTTACAATAGTACCGATTCACACGGGCAAACGGGAATTTGCCTTCAGTATTATGAGAATGCGTGTACAGTTGTTTTGTGTAATGCATAAAAAAATTACATATAAATATACAAGATAAAAAATTAGTGGTTAAAGTTATTAATTACTAATAAATTATTAGAAATTTTAATTACGACCAATTAAAATGGTCTAATTAAATTGGATTTCTTTAAACATTAAAAAAGTGCAATGAAATTATTAATTTACTGCCAAATATCAGTTTTTTTTAATAGTTAAATAGAGCTATTTGGTGTTGTTAGTTTAATTTAAATTAAAACCTACAAATTTGAAGAGACATTGTTGTTTTTACTTATAATAGTTAAAGAACTAAATTTAAACTATTAACTAGGATAATAAACTAATTATTATAATATTATATTGTCATCTTCAAATTTGTATCCTAACAGTGCGTTTCCACTGCCGAAAAAATATTCAAAAACCTACTATAATCCCAAATTTTACGTTTTATAGCGATATTTCTTCAATGAAAACCCACAGTGGTACATGTTGGGGATATATGTAGGGTGTGAGGTTACCTTGATTCTGGAGACGGCCTCCTCAGCCTGCAGCATCCTGGTGGCCTTGGTAGGCTGGCCCTCGCACGCCAGCTGTGTGGAGCCGAGGTACCGCGCGCGGAACAGGACGCCCTCAATCAGCACTGACGGGTCTGTTCATAACACAGAAATTAATTTAAATAAAAAAATAATAGTAAAGGGTTTGCTGTTTTTTTTTCATTATTACATCTTCAATTTGTGTGGTAGAGATGGGCTTATCAAAAAAAATAATATGAAAAAGAACTGAGGCTGTTGAGGAATTTAAAGTTTTTTTTCTAATATTTTTTAAAGCTAGAAGTATGATTTCTAACAATCTATTATGGTTATTGTACTCTTAGTGAATTTTACTCACCGAAGCATCCAAGGAAAGGAAGCAAGTAAATTAAAAATATAGAGTAATGTTTATTTTTGGTAAATAAAAAAAAGGAATCAAATTAGTTTTGTATTGAACTTGGTCATATTTAAGTGTTATACTCACCTTCTTTATTTTTTGTTTTCTTCTTGCCATCTTTGTCCTGGAAATAATAATAAATTTTACCGATTTTAAAATGTAACATAAGTTATAAACACACAAACATAATTCCATGCTTCAAGAAAATTTTACTGAATATTTTGTTTACATTTTAGGAATGAAGAAATGTTTTTTTTTTAAATTCTCACAAGACGAAGAAACTCTTCAGAACTAAATGATCGAATAGCATTAATTGTCCGACATACCAAGGAGTTCATATATTGGTGACTACTTTAAAAAAATAGCTACTGGCCAAAGAGACAATTAATCCTGACAGACACAGAAAGCGTTTAATAACCGACCTATATGTATTAAAAAATCTCAAGTTTAGTGTTGTATAAGAAAATATCTTTTAATCCGTACTTTGATTGTCAACTATTATGTATTTATTATTAAATTTATGAAACGTATATACATGCGTGCATGCTCTTTACAATCATGAAGAAGTTTATGAGTATGAAAATTCTAACTTAAAAAGAAAACAATGGTCTAAACATTTAGCACAACATCTAGCACGCACCTTGGCGGCATGAAGCGCGTCTTCATTGGCGGCATCGTGCGAGGCCAGCGAGCGTGGCGAGCGCCCGCCCCCCGCACCACCCGCGCACACCCCCGCCCCGCCCACTGCCACGCCCCCAACCCCGCCCCCGCCCGCTGGCATCACCGTGCGGGACTTGGGCTTGCGCCACCCCTGCCCGGAATACCCCACATTTTATAGAACCGAAGAGATTTAAATAAATTCTATAATAGATCGGTCATAACAAACGTTAGGGAAAAACTTTGACCAAAATTGTCAGTATAGGCGATGTTACCTATTGGTAACAAGTCGTGGATGTCACGTGAATTGAAACATCGTATGATTAAATCCTTTAAATTTAAATAAATATAACGAAAAGCACTCCTGTGATTGCAAAATTAAAGCAAATTGCAAGTGCCTAGTTTGGTATACTTTGTTATACAAACAACGTCCCTATAGCCTTTTAATTGTAAGTAAAAAAACTATATATTAATGAATGTGTCGCATAAATATAAATAAATATTTGACAAAATAAACCTTTCTATTCCCCTCCTTAGTGGTTGCAGTATCATCGTGTGATGTTACATCACTAACTACTTCATTGTTTTCAATTTCCCCATTAGTAGATACATCACTTGCCACTTTCTCTATGTCTATAGTTTCTCGTGTCAAATCTACACTACATTCATCGATAAAATCGTGACTCACATCACTAGTACACGGAACATCACTATTTATACAAACATTTTCACTATCATGAATAATTTTAGTCTTTAAATCGCTTAAATCACAATTATTGACTAAATTAGTTGTTTCTTCGTCCATTTCTGATGAGTACTAAAAGCATATGTTTACGTTTGATATATCGCGTGTAAACATATATAGAAAAAACATTAGCATACGTCAATAATCTGCTATCAGACTTGGTCACTTTCGCTATGATAAAGTCGTTATCGTAAAGTGAACTCAATCATATGTCTATGTGTTGTCGGTACGCTATGTCAATGACGACTGACTGACCCGCCGTCTATTGCGAGTAACATATGGTTGTCAAAGAGTATTCAACACTGTGTGTATAATTTTTTTTTTCAGTTTATTTTTCAAATAAATAATGAGATAATAAAATAGTGTAGTAGTAACTTATTTTAATACTTATTCGATATTTAAAAAAAAGGTAATAATTACCAACTTAGTTACGACAATAATTATTAAAAAAAATTTTTTTATTGTAAATCTAATCAGAAAAACATATTTCTTAATATTTCTCCATTATTTATGTTTAAAACCTTAGTTTTTACTCTTCTTATACCAAACATAATAACTCTTAATTAAGAAGTGACCATTCTTCGATTAGTTGATCTATGACAGGTATAACAAGAGAGCAAGGTCAAAGCATCGTATAAATTTCGATTGCTCACGCGCATTGCGCCGATATACCGCTGACACATTTGATAACGTAACCACCGTATGCACTAAGCCATAAGGTTCATTTTCCAACAAATTTTCTTTAATGTAACTTGTATGTAATGACTAACGTGAGAATTTAAATTAGTAGTATTTTAACACAACGGTACGTAATAAAATGAATTTATTTTTTCCTAAGTAAAAATTTATTCAAATTATTTTATTAGAAGTAGAAAAAAGGTAATTAATGTAAGATTAGCTTTACTCATAGTTCCATAGTTTACAAAGAGACGTAAAATATTACGATGTCATTTTTAAACCAGGACTTTAGTTAAAGGGGTTAATGATTTTAAAACAATCTTAAAATCATTCTCAAGGCCACATTAAATATGCGTTCTAATTATAAAATATTGAGATTTTTTTTCCATATGAATTAGTAAATTTGAATGTAAGTTATGAACTCACTTTATCATCAAAGAATCCCTGGTCATCCGTCCTCTGCTGGCCCAGCAACCTGTCCGTCTCCAGGTCCGTGTCGGCTTCGTCTGGAAATTATTAAGAATACTCTGAATATTACCATAGTTGCCAAATTGCACCAAACCCTACAAAACACTAGTGATGAAAACACAAAAAAAAATAATCTACGTTTAGCGAAATCGTAAGAAGAGTTTATAAAATGTAGGAGATACCTTCATCTCCGCTGGCTTGTTTGATCTCAGCCGACTCCGTACTCTGTGCTGACGACGGCCTCTTACTGGAATACAAAATTTTTAAGGTAAATACAACCTCACTTGTAATATGCATGTTCAAATTCAACAGAAATGACAAATTGTAACAGACCTGTCTAAACAATTTTACCTATATAAGTCTGTAATCACAGACTTTTTACAAACAGACATTTTTGTATGCATAATTAAAACACAGAAACTTTTTCAAATAAATTCATAGATGTGTAATTGCCGGAGAGTTCATACATATAATTTCTCATTTACATTGAATTCAACGTTTTAATTTTTAAGATGCGCTAAATTAATATTTAAATTAGTAAGTGAAGCTTTTAAAAATAATCATACACGTTCACAAACTCACCGCGGGTATACATCGTCGTGTGCGGCGTGTATGTGCGGCGTGTGCGTGCCGTGCGCTGCGTGAGACACGTGAGGCGCATGGGGCACGTGAGGCGCGTGGGGCACGTGAGGCGCGTGTGGCACGTGAGGCACGTGAGGCGCGTGCGCGGGTAGCGCGGCGTGCTCGGCGGGCGGGCGGTGCGGCGCGGGCGCGGGCGGTGGGGGCCCGGAGCACGCTGAGTGCACGCAAATTCATTACCACATTAAAGATACTAAATTAATGTAATTTTCTTTTGAAGTTTCTCTCAAATAATCCGGGCTTTGAATGGATATAATTAGGAGTACTCTAAACATGTTTGTTTGTAATGTGTTCCTTTTCTTACCTAAAGGATCCAATGAGTGTAGATCAGCGTCGGACAGTATGAGGGGATCAGAATTTGTACCATTCTCCACTATCTCCTCTATTATTACCGAAGAATTCTGTAAAAATAATGCACTTGTCTTCATAAAAAGGAATTGTTTTATACTGAATTAAGAAGATAAAAACGGAGACGACATTCATTTCTTTTTGGATTCGTTTCTTCCCAAATATCTTCATTCAATAATCTCACCTGATTATTATTGTCAGTGTCAGAGGCGTGTCCGGAGGAGAGGCCGTCCTCCACCACCGGCAGGTGAGTCACCACGACGCGGTTAGAGTCTAGTTGCACTGGAAAAGTACAAGCAGTATTAATATTTTTACTGTGATATCTATAAAAGAAGAAACTAAAATTAAGATTAAATATTGCACTGATTTTCTACGTCAATTAGCTTTTTGAGAATGGATTTTTCAAAATAACTTTTACTAACAGTTTGTGTCATGTAACCGACCTTTCATTTCAGAGAGCTCACTCTCCATGATGGCAAGTGAGAGATCGCTGGCGGAGTCGCTGGCGGCCGACGACATGGCGAAGGGGAGTCGCTCGCGGGACCCGTGGTCACGAGCCTCCAGCAAGTCCCGCAGGTCACGCGCGTCGCGTACATCACGCGTGTCACGTATGTCACGTGCGTCACGCATTTCACGCGTGTCACGCATGTCACGCAAGTCTCGTATGGAAGTCCTCGGCGCGGGGGACGTGGAACCACTGTCGAGAGGACCGGCTCGCAGCGCTGACACATCTGGCGCCGCGTATCGTGATGTTTGTTGCTGGAATTATTGAAAAGATCATTATTTTTGTGGTATTGTCTTGCGCAGCAGTACCTGTTATTTGTCGTTTGCAGGATGGAAAATACAATAAACGTGATAAAGCGAAGATTGTAAAATTTTTAGACCTTCTAATAGTTTTGAACCTAGTCTATAGTAAATATCTCCGTATGGAGATACTTATTGTACTGAATTAAATAATACTGTTGGCAAGCCAGCACACCTGCAGGCCGAGGAAGTTGGTGTGGTTGTGCGGCGCGTGAGGCGAGTCGAGCGAGTCGAGAGTGTCGGGCTGCGGCCACTCCGACTCGCTGCCCTCCTCCACGCCATTCTCTGACGGACACTCCTGCGTCTGCCGCCGCAGCTCGTATTCCAAGTCCTGGTTATTATATCATAGTCATAGTATAAATAGTCTTATAGATTTACTTACTTATATAAGTTTATCCCAAAGCTACTTATCGTTTTTACAACCGTTCTCAATTGTTATAATTATTAAAATTTAAAAAAATTGCTGGCAATTCATAAATCGCCCATTGACAAGTATTATGTAGCTTTATGCCTTTTATTTTAAGCAGTAAATAAAATTCAACGTACCTGGAAATTGACGATATCATCATTGGCGGCGAGCTGCGTGTGTCCGGGCGCGGCGGGACAGCGGAAAAACTCCTCCAGCACCTTGCGCGTCTCGGAGAACTCGTACAGGTAATCGAACGCCGAGGTGATCGGTGGGGACTCCCCGCGGCTTTCCGTCATCACCCTCTGATACAACGATATGTTACTTGTAACTAAGAACCATAAACAATCGGTTTACTTTTTTCCCAAACCATATTTTATGATACAGCAGCCGCAAGCGATCGCTCGAAACGGGGTGTTTGTCAAATGTGATTTTTTTATAAACAAATTGATTGTAGCAACTAACCTGTGGGAAGCCAGGTCTGGGCGATCTGTTGCTGGTCTTCTGACTGCCGACCCCGTACCTGCGGGGGGAGCCCTCGTACTCCGCGATGGGAAGCTCCCCTATGACCCGCGTGACCCTGCCCTCCCTGCCGCCCTCGTCCCCCGACAGCCAGGTGCCCGGGCTACCGGAGGGCGAAGACTCACTCCCCTCACTCAGTTCACTCTTACTGTTCAAATCACCGTCACCGTTCTTAATACAGTCTAAAGTTCGCTTTACACTCGTGTCTATGTCATCGTCACTAACGTCAGGGTCCATCCTCAAACCTAGGGACACAGAATTCAATATCACTGAAAATAAAAAGGAAACAAGTAAATCTTTTGTATTTTAAATGCAATTAATTATTAAATTACAACTTTATTAAAACATATATTCATAGAGCGTCGGTGGCTCAGTGGTCAAGCACTTGACTTGCAATCTGCAGGTCCTGGGTTCGAATCCCGCCATGTACCAATGTGTTTTTCGATTTCCGATTTACATATGTACATTTATCCGACGTTCTTACGGCGAAGGAAAACATCGTGATGCAACCTGCACATATCTGAGAAGAAATTCAAAGATATGTGTGAAGTCAACCAACCCGCACTTGGCCAGCGTGCTTGACTATGGCCTAATCACCCTTAACTTGGGGTAGGCTCCGAGCACCTCGGTGGGGATGTATAGTGAGCTGATGATGATGGTGATATTGACGTAGATACTACATCTTATTAATATTATAAATGCGAATGTTCAGAAGGATGGATGTTTGCTAGAAGGTATCTTCAGAACGGCTGAACGAATTTCGATAAAATTTGACATAGCTATAGACCACATAGTCCACAACAAAATATAGGCTTATTATTATTACTTTTTTCAATTAAGGGCGGACGGAGTCGAGAGAACAAAAAGTTAAATGTTTGTTAAAATTTTTTATAGAAAATAAACGTGTAAAAGAGGAGAAACGCAAAATTCCCATGAAAAGTACATAAACAATTTTAACCCACTAATGGCTGTACACAGTCGCGTTTATAACATGTTAATACAAACACAGTCCCGGCGGGAGTCCCGCAACATTCGTTTAATGGGATCCGCGATGGCTTAATAAACTTTGAGCAGCTTCATTTTATCCAGACTATAAAATTAACAACCACTAAAGGGGAAATTCCACTGAACGTTGATAGCAAGTAATACAACATTTGGATACATAAGAATTTAAATTGATAGACAACGTACAGCAAAGTTACCCGTACCAACACATTGGTTGTACGACTTTGGGTTTCTATTTTCAAACCACATGGTTAAACATATAGTCATCTCTTTCATTCTATTTAAAAAAAGAGATAGCAACAAGTGGAATGGAATATTAAGGGAATGAAAATGTACAATTTCATAATAACTAGTCCAGTAGTTTCTGTTCGCAACTGGCTGTTTAATCATGAATAAAAACAATATTTAGTGTTTTACCTTTCCAGTCGTCATTATCATCAAAGACCATAACCTCGCCGTCCGCTACAACAGCGATGGGGCTGCTCTTTGCACTGACATCGGTGGTCTTGTGCGGGTCCAGTATGGGCGAGCTATTCTTAGGTATGCCCATTGTTTTGTTGTCTATGATACCTTCTCTATCTCCATTCGTATACGTCGGGGAAGTGTGACGTGATATCATTTTTTTCGGCTCATTGATTATTCTATGTAGAGATATCTGAAAATATATCGCACATATATTAATTATAATCCTAGATAATTCACAAAATTACAGATTTCAGGGGTGGATGCTCTAAAGAAGATTTAAATAAAAGTCGATTTGTCGTAGGTTACAACAGTATAGGTACACCTGAATGATTGTACGTACGTACGTACTTGTCAAATGTTTGGACAAATGTATTTTAGACGAGATTGTAGTTTCTTAACAAGTTTGTAGCAGTATTTAGATTTAGTTGGTTTGTGTTGGCTGTTTGGCCTGTGTTGGCTCTTATTGTTTACCTCATTGTTAAGAGTATCTGTGTAGTCATCAGCGAGGTTGTGTGGGGCGCGTTTGTTGCGAAGGTTATGCTTGTGCGTGGCGCTGTGCCGCAGCTTACGCGCTGCCTTCGTTCTGCTCTGCGAGTACACCTCGCGACCGCCAGCTATCTCGATTATTCTGGAGCAAAGTTGTTAGACGAATTTATACAAAATAAGTGAAAAAAAAACTGATGTCTATTCCACTCTAAGGATCCAGAAGTGATGCAAATGCATAGCCAACATTTTTGTTGGCAAAGAATACTACACTGTACCACAAACAATGTTGGTTCTTGAAATCTAGTTCACAAAGTAAACGAAACGTTTGAGTTTACGAAGAAGTATAGTTAAATTAGATTCATTAAACCAAAGCTATAAGTGTTTATTGAATTTATTTACTTTAAAATGTAGGATCTCACGGCGATATAGTGACTTTTTTTTGAACTTGGAGTCCTTCTAATTCTTCCTTACAGATTAGTATCATCAGTACTTTTAGAATAACGTACCTGGAGTCTCTCAATTTGTAAGCTCCTCCCTTGGAGTTGAGTATGACGAGCTGGCCGTCTGCGGCGCGCTCCTCGTCCGAGGAAGCGTTGTTGACGACGTTCATCTCGCGGCTCTCCACGCCTACGCCCACTCCTACGCCTAGCCTAGAAGAAAATTCATCGGATATAAGACATATATCACCACCTATTAGTCGTAAGACTTATTGATAGGGGAAGGAAATAAAATCCTTTTTCCACTTCGTAAATAGTCGCAAGCGACCACCATTCATATTTGTTTTTTGTCGATTTTCACTGACTTGGCTGCCTTAAAGTAGAGGTCGCGGGCGTCTACTTTCTTAGTGGAAACAGTAGGCTAGTTTTTTTAAGGAAAATAAAATATAAAAAGGTAAAGATCATGCTTAACTTACCTGCATCAAAGCATACTTAAAGTAGTGAGTACCCACACAATAAAAGACGTGCTAGCGTGCAGACAAAAAATTATATTGTAGACCGACCAACTAAAGTTAAGACTGAATATTTAATTATTAATATATATATATATATCATGAAATCCATATGAAAATATTCATAGGATAAATTGGAAAAATTAAATTTCAAGTCTCAACTTTGGTAGGTAAGACTATAAAAGGCTCCCATATATCGTAAAAATAAATATTGTAAACATTTATAATCTGCCTTCTATATGGAGATAATTTCAATAGAAATTAACAACATAGTAATTGAGAGTCACCTAAAAAAATAAACGTAGATTTGTGACTCGTAAAAAGGTCCTGTATATTTTTCTTTGCCGAAGAAAAGGATGTAATTTTCAATTATGATGTTTGTACTATATTGCGTTGTATATAACAGTTAGATATATTTGAGAAGTAAATTACGCAGTATTCAATATTAGATGTAATTATTACAATATTTAAAAGGAAGCTTTTAAATCGGAATGCTCTGAATTTCAGTCATTACCAACTTATCGTCGACTAAAATATTTATAATCCTACATTATAATAACGTTTTGAATTGTTATACTTAAAGATTTTCAAACGCTTTTATTTTTAAAAAAGAAGCACTTTTACAATGGTTAATAAATTTAATTTACATCTGTTTTGTTCCAAAAAGTTTTCTTGTAATCTGTACCATATTCACTACTAAAATAATAAGATAAACTTTTTAATGGCAGCAGCTGGATGACATAAGCTTACGATATAACAAATAAAATCTTAGACATTCACTTGACTTTTACTTTTTACATCATCATCACTTTCATTACATCATCATTCAGACTGTGGTGATACTAACTTATTAACAAATGTCGTTGAACTCTTTGTATGTACTTATCCTACTGGATTTTTTAATTAAATCTCATAAAAGCTTTAAACCAACGCACATTTGTGCAGTTACTTCGGCAGTGAGAATCCACGATATTCGTTATTATCAAATTTGATTTAACCACCCACTTGTACATATATCTTGTCACATAAATCGTACATTTTCTTCTCTATAAAAACATGACTTTACTATCATTCCACGTGTTACACATAAACCTATGGCCCGGTTTAATATCGACGTTTGTAATTAAACTGCGATCACGTGACTTGACAGACGCAAAGTCGACGGCACGTGACGGCCCGCCGATAAGTTAGGGTTGGAACACGCGATACGGCGATTACCTAATCCTGGACTGCGATTGTCGGTTGTTATTCAGTGCATACGTACTAGTAGACTTGAATACTATATATTTACTAGAATTTATAACGAATGTTAGTTCATTGGAGCTATTAAATTAAATACAACAAAAAGCTTCACACATTTTTTCTTGGTGTCTTATCCATGATCGCATTACCTGTTCTTATTCTTCCTTTTTCGAACTGTCAATTAGCTTTTCGTTATCATTTTGAGTTTAACAAATAATTTTTGATTTCTTAGATCATGCCTTCAGTAAACGTATTTACTATACGTTCGTATTCTTAAACAAAAAATGGTTAAGAACGCAGATTATAAATCACCCTATATCACCACAACATTTGTGATAAGACTGTGTTATTATTGCACGTATTTTATTTAATCAAATGTCAGTAACACGGCAGTAATTACTGACGTAATTACAAACAAATTAATGTTTGATGTTCCCTTAATACCAATATTCGATTAAATCGTTATTTACTACGTTAGCGTAACGGACATTATGTAATTATCTTATATACTGGAATTATTTAACGATTAAGTACTAAAAATACAGTATATTAAATAATAAATTTAGATATTCCATTATTAAGGTCCCGTACGTCCCTAAATACGTAAGCAGTCTTGGTGCTAAAGTTAAGTAACCGCGGGCAATTACTTATGCTGAGTAGCATAGACCGATCATTACTTTAGTTTTGAGGAGATGATGATTTACTATCTAAAGCGATTTTTAAGCAAACAAGCGATCAAGCGGTCCCCGCAACAATTGATTATGAGATTGAGTTTAAATAATAGAGGTTAGTATATGAGGCACGTATTTAAATGATTTAATAACCTCGAACACATTAAATTAAACATTTATTGATGTTTTCCGTTTATTTGATCTGTAATAGAAAACAAACAACATTGAGCGTTAAGCCTTTATCATCATAAGCATCGCTGCAACACAAGATAACAACATTTGATAACCTAACCTATCCGTCGACTTATTGTTTTAGCTATCTGTTAATTAGCAATAATAGCAGTAGCATCCTTTGAATTATAATAATAGTGTACTTATCATTTTGTGTGTAGCTGAAGTCATGTCTCAGAGCAACGTGTTAGGTTAGGCGTGAGGTGTTAGGTTAGATGTGGGTTGCGAGGTTAGGTGTGGGGTGTGAGGTTAGGAGAGGTGCGTGTTACCTATCGTGCTGGTGCTGGCTGTTCCTGGGGCGGCACTTGGGGAAGAGGCGCGTGATCTCGCCGGCGTCAGAGCCGGGCGTGGAGTCGCCCGCCCGCAGCCCCGCGCCCGCCCCTGCGCGCGCCCGCCGCGTGCCCGCGCTCATCGCCCCGCCGCGGTCAACTCTACCGGCACACGCCACCCGCTTAGCGATTTTCTCTCATTTAGTACTAATCTCAATTGTTATGACTGCCTAGTAAACGAGCAAATTGTCAACTTGATATTAAAGTATCTCTCCTACCAACACGTAAACTAAACGACATAGTTGCTTTTGATTGTGCAAGGGGAAAGAACTAAGACGCGGTAAGTCATCACCACCATCCATGAACGACTGCAATTGCGGCTTTAAGATGGTTATAAATGATTTAGGAATGCTAATCACTTTCATTTATGGTTTGCCGTGTGTATTCTACTTGATTCATTTAAAAAAAACTAAAGTGTAACATAATCATGGGTAAAGTAAGAGACTTATAAGTGCTTTATAATCTATTTAGTATCTATTATCACTAGTACTAGAAACGTTTATAAACGTTAAATGTGATTTTAATCGGAGAAACGACCGTTTACCCGGTAGCTACTGATTTGCATACACAACGTAATATTATCATACTCCATTCCAAGTGTTTACTTGATAGATTGGTTAATCCCTTTGTGTTATGACAGAATTAACTAATTAATGGATATTATAAATTCATTTATCGCCTGAACATAATGTTACAGCTTATGTAAAGAAACTTTCCTCAAATATCGCTGCACAGACAATATTTGACAAAAACAAAACAAGAACGTATACGCTTTGATCTAATGATATCGTTTCGAATTCAGTAGCCCGCTCCTACAAAGTTACGTCTGCTTTCGGTCCCCAAACGAGCTCAAAATGCGATTTGGCATTAGTCGGCAAGTTCTATAGGTAGCCCCACACCCCGGCAACCCCGGTATGGCCGATGACGTGTGCCGCATGGCACCGACTGTAACCGCTGCCAAACTACCGGATCGATAGCACATTAGCTACGCGGCCACGAAATATGCCATAGGCGGAGCGGGTAGCGGTTTACTTACACGACCCTTGTTATTGTAATGGACAGTATAAAAAATAATAGAAAATAACTAATAAATAATAATGAATAACGACGTGGATTTCATTTCAATGCTAATATTCTTGTTTGCGTTGTCAAAAGTAATGAGTGTAGCAGTTTTGTTGGCCATACCACAAAGGCACCGACACGCAAGGCCCGCCGGGGCCGCATGTCTTGCGAGGGTAGATTTATTCTAGGATTTTATGGGGCGGCTCGCGGCGCCGGCCGTCGCCACTTCACCACGCTTTATATAAGACGTTTCACTCAACCCTATTTACATGGATTGGACTGTGACCAGTTTCTGACCTATTTGTTCGTCTAGAATAAAGGATTTTCAAGACCCTCTCGCATCATATATTTAAAAATAAAACAATAAGATCCAATTTCGTTTAATTTTAATTAATTAAAGAAAGTGGAGCGACCGGGGACAGATCTTTTGAACGCAGTCCTGAACTTCTGTCCGCGTCGCCAATTAAAACTGCGTGGGTCCAAATTCTAGTTACTTAATGAATTTCAAAGAATAGCTGCCACTCTACGGTAATTAAAGGACCATTTAAGGGACTGAACTCCTCATCTTGTACCTTAGTAATGTAAATACAATATTCCTGTAAGTAATGGAAAAATCATGACTTAACTCCGACTTGTTTTTTTTTGTAGAGTTTTAGTTCCAGTAAATGTATCATACGCTCAACTACAATTCAAACCTGACTAATTACTGGCTGACAATATATTAGATACGGCATTTAGACGCTTAACCTGTAGTTCCACTAAATGTCGACTTGGATGATTCATTGCGATATTTCGAACATTCAACGGCCTTGATAATAATGAACCCTTTGTTGTTAACAACACTTTTAAATGTGAACGAATCAATGTGACAGAAATAAAAAATAACATAAATAAAAAAGCTAAGAAATCACTATATCAAAGATTACGATTTTCTGCTACGGACGGCCCGGACACGCCTATCTTATTTCGTGTCCAGTATAAATTTTCCTTGTATTCTTTGAACGTCCTAAGTATTCTGCGATATAGTGTAGTTATTTGTTTATTTATACTTATAACTCTACAATATAGTTATATAAATAATCTTACAAAATGAGGTTGCGTTTTATAGGCAATGTCTAATAGGTATAACGTATTATTTTATTTTTTTATTGTAGCAAATCGGCACCGATCTTCGAAAGAAAATTTAACATAAATTGCATATAAAATCATTTTATAATAACTAAGAAATATATTCAAATGTCCTTTATTTATTTTACTACACAAATTTCAAATTTATTACACCGATTTGCGCAAACGTAATAAAATAAATGGAATCTCTAAGCCTTTTGATTCACCTCATACATAAGTAAATGCAAAGGGTTTCAAATTTCAATACGTAATTTATACTCAGAGACAAGAAAGTTGACATTTATCATAAAAAACTATATATTAACATAGACTTTCTAATGACGTTCATTAGATTTATGTGCATTTGAAATTTCTAACTAATATTTACATCTATCACAAATAGTACTCATAATTTTTAATAGATCTTAAAGAACCCGTGACAAAGCCTAGAATTATTTTATCAATTTTTTTTCTAGTATGGTCAATTTTGTTTTCTTTGATTTTCATTTGTTACAGTTGAACGTTAAGGTTTGTTACATTTATGAGGACTCATAAAACAACCTCATTCCGTGTACACGTGTGCGAGGCGCTAAACATTCGAAATAGGCTGACCGATCCAATCGTGTTTTATGATTTCCTCTTCCTGTACCTAATATTATAATATATTAAATTTTTGGATACGATGTAAAGGTACTAAAACAATAAACAAATGATCTACGGTTACTTATGTGTGTGTGTGTGTGTGTGTATGTATGTGTGTGTATTTGTTGTTGAATCGAAATGTCTAAAAATCTATCTGTAATGCCAAACAAATAGAATTTTTTGGTACAAAAAGTATTGGTAGTGTTTAACGAGATTTTATTGCAGTTACAAAGGTCCAAAGGTCACCAAAATCATATTTCTCATTTCCAAAAAAAAATAGACATGAAGTTTCGGCATTGGAACCTACGTGTGTGATACGTACACTATGGATTGTATTCGTGAGCAACTTAATACTAAATACTAAAAGAAGTAATTCCATAATATTCCTTGTTAAGAACGATATTTAAATCTTACAAAATCATTATCAATAACTCTTGAAACTAATTTACGTCTTGTGAACAATTTGTTAATATCACGAAATTGAATTTAAGTCAATTCCTAAATTAAATTTGTTCGATACCAATCTACAGTCTACGGACGAAATTCAAACTCGCTCTTGTAATTAAAAGTGCCATTCATTCAATTGAATGGCTCTCGAATGACTTACAACTTCTCTACAATCACGGCTCAGTATCTTTTAATATAAATCAAAAGAAGGAAAACAATTTCATTTTAAATATGATTTAGTTTTCCACAACTCTTTTAGAACACGCTATATTTGGAAATAATTATTTCATGAAAGTGATTCTCTCTGACTAAAGTAATAAAGTATGACTACAATTTATACTTCACACAGAAATATAATATACTCAGGTACTTTCGAATCCAAAGCATTTTAGTATATTACAATATAAGTGACTTTTGTCCGCGATTTCGTCTCCGAAAAATAAAATAGAAGTAGTCTGTGTGTTCTTCGAGATTATTTTCTACATTTCTGACAAATTACATTAATATTCGTTGAGCCGTTCTGGAGATACCTTCCAAACAAATATCTATCCATCCATCCATTTAAACTTTTGCATTTATAATATTAGTAAGAAATAAGATAAGAGGGCAAGTTTTGAAAAGGATTAATTATGGGCTGCATGTGCAAATTAATATGTTTTTTAATTCTTAGAACAATATTAGCGGTGAGGCAGACAGTGCAAACTTGGTGCATTTTAAAACCGCTGCAATAAGCGAGTAATTAAGTGCACTTGTGTGGCGTTTAACATGACGGTCTCCGCTCGAAACACTCACGGTCCAGAGTGAATTAAAATTGAGATTTTTTTAATGATTATTGAATACTGTATGAACTCTTTCACATATTGCTCTCAGACAGTCGTGTTTACGATATCGACGTAGATTAATTTGCAACACGACATAATTGGGTACTAAATCCACTTTTACTTCTCGTAGCGTAATCTGATAAATGTTATTGGTGAAAATTTTAATACTGGCAAATACATATAAACATCCTTTTTGGTCGTATAATATTAAAAAAGAAAACATATGCAAGATAAGTCGTCTCAAAATGGCCTTTCCTCAAATAAATGGTTTTGAATACTAATTTTAAGGTTTTCTTTGCATAAAATTCATGCGTAAACATATTCGCCGTTTATTTGATTTATCTAATTGAAGAGTTTCGTTTCCGGTTTACGACTAGACGTAAAAGAATCTCATTTCTCCACGTGTGTAAATCGTAAGTGTAAAAACTGTGAATGTGCAAGAAAATCTGTTTTATAACGCGCCCTAATACTAAAGTTACCCTTTTCGCTCAACAATGAGAAACTTTAGCTCTTATATAAAACGATGCATCGTTATTTACATATTAGCTGTAGTATGATAGCCTCAATATTTTGTAATATTTACGAAACGAGGGTTGAGCGTTGATTTACCTTTTTTAACCAGATAAATATAGTAATGCAAAACATTTTAAAGTCTAAATTGATAATTGCTACAAATAATACTAAATTATGGTCGACTTATTCAACTATAAAATCTATTTAATCGATTCTACAGTACTACAAAGAAACATGAAATTGTAGACTAGATAAAGAACAAATACTGCATGCCAAGAAACTAATTTCATTCCCAATATCTAGACGCATGCAGATAACTTATGTTAGTACTTGTCACATTGTTATTTAAGATGTTACTGAAGATAAAAAAAAAACTAACCATAGAGAGAAAATCAGTCAGATTTTCAACGACTTAAACTGTTAAAAAACCTATCTTATTCGTATCATAAAATAAATAAAAAGGATTCTAAATAAAGAAGGGCCACTAACACTTACTAGCTATGACCGCGAATTCATTCGCGTGGCTGACGGAAACACTATCGCGATTATCTTTTGCTTGCATTTTTCTTCGCTCATATTGGTCGCAGCGTAATGTTATATAGCCTAAAGCCTTCCTCTATAATTAAACTATCCACCAAGAAAAGAATTTTTCAAATCGTACCAGTAGTTCCTGAGATTAGCGTTTAAACAACCAAACTCTTCCGTTTTATAATATTAGTATAGATTTGAATTATTTGTGCTTATCACGGTGACTAGAGTTTTATAAACGTGGGTCACGTTGAGCCACTTACGGACTTTTAAGAGCCAGCAAGATAAATCTTAAACGGTTGAGCAAACTTAAGACCGTCGCGTCACTTTCGATACATATCCACTTTAGAGAGTCGGAAATAACGAATAAATTCGAAGGCTTACACGAAATCTTTGCAAGATAAAATAGATTCGTAATTTTAAACTATGAACTATTTAGTTTTCTATAGTTTGTTGTTATTTGTTTTATTAACAGCTATTATTATTAACGAATCGTTAAGGTATCTACTAATTACGATTTAATTTTATACAAAAGTTGCTTCAAGCAATCATCGAAAGTTGGCTATTAGATTTAAGATTTTATTAGTACTAGTAATGTTTCTAGGACGATTAAATTAATTATTAGAACTAAGATATAACAATATGTTAGACATATGTTTGTGTGTGTGGGTAGAGGGCATGTCTGTATGTTCATGCACATGCATTATTCATTACCTAAGGTGTGTTTACGTGTTTATGTTCCATGTTCCATATGTAATGTTATTCAGGATGTCCGATATCTATTATTTGTTTTATTAACTTTCATACAAGTAATATATTGACAATTAAATGTATAATCTTTCCTGTTCTATAATATTTGTGCTTTACTTTATAGACAAACACTTACTTTAAGAGTAACTAATAGTTTTTCTATTTTCTTACTTCTTTTTACTTTTAATTTGACTACTTAAATTTTGTTAAATTCGAAATTAAATTATCAAAGATACTAACCTTTTTTCAGCATTTTTTCCGCTTAAGACCTGAAATGAATAGACAAATCGTTCATTATTTTTACTAATATATATTATCTTTCATGGCCGATCATTTATGATAGACTTAATGAAAATTCTGACTTTGGCAGGTTCCTTGGAAACTATGAGGTTCCAATAAAACTAAAAAATTGGGGAATAAAAATAATATAAATAATTCGCTTTACCTTGCCCCAATTCTGATAGTAGCCCTGACATCCTCCCCTTGTTGTAGAGACTGCGCTTTAAATTTAGATGCAAATTCGCCAAGTGGAGTGGCGAGAAAGTGGAAACTTTGAATGCGCCGCGGAGTGGGTAGTAAAAAGAGAAATGCAGCGCTTTGTGCTTCAAGATACCGTGACAAGAGCCCGAGTGCGACACTTTACTAGTGGAAATTCAGTTTTCGTAGCGCACTCTCGAAGGGCCCTCGGTAAGGAAACACGAACACGTGTCAAAGGCGGCACTTATCATGAATATTATTCAATGTTACGTCGGGACGTCGCATTACGCGAACACTATTTGTTATTCTCTCTGCATTGTCGACCCACGGGATCTTTTCCATCAGACGTTTTTTAAACAAAGACATTGGGACTATTGGAATTGAAGTAAATGGAAAAGGGATATCTATCGAAATTTTTCGATTGCTTTTATCGTTTTGATTTGCACGAGCTTTTCGATGGCAATTGATTTTATATTTTTATCAAAAAAACTCGATGGAAATATTTAATATTTGGTTGTATTTATAATATAAAGTATGATAACTTTATCAATGGAACCATCCATTCAAAACCGGGTTCATGACCTAAATACGTTTACTATTCGACGTATGAATTTCAACAAAATGAAAAATCCTAGCAGCTGGGAATGAGAATTTGAAACAACACATTAAGAAAAGAAAAACAAAACACGCTGTAGTCATATTTCAGTATAAGATACGGTTCAAGAGACGGGAATTCATTCAAACAAACTGAATTACATAATTTTAGTAAAAACTAAATTGTAAATGTACAAATATTTGCTTCTGAATTTTTAATGACAAGACGCTATGAACATATTTATTGTTTTACGAAAAATTACCGATTAAAAAAAAAACATTTGTTCTTAAAGATAAGTAGTTAAAATATCAAAGTAGAAAGTAAAAAGGAGCAATATAGCAGCAAATCAGAATAATTGTTTTTATTTCTTAACACGACATTAGAAGTATTGGCTAATGAAGTACCGTACAAGCATAAGCGTTTTGTGGCTTAAATATTAACATGATATTACAATATTTACATATTTAAGCCACAAAACGCTACCTCTCGTCACTTACACCACAAATATGCGGCCTGATTTCCATGTTCACTCGTCCAGCTCACTCGCCGCTCCGACTGGCCAAACAGATCTTTATTACACGGCGCGCGGTGCGCGGGAATATTTTAATATCTGCCACTGTTCCCGGCATTAAGCCCGGATTATTTCCTTGTTTACTTTGCGAGCAACAAAGCCCCCAACTATGCTGTTATAAATTTCATATAGAGGCTTTGTTACTAATTAAAATTAAACAAACCTCGGTTATGTTGCACGAAACTTTGAAATTAACTATTTGTTCCACCGCGTCGCCATGTTTCTTTGTAAATATTCAATTTATATTGGTTTAATATCTATTTGGACATCCCAGATTTAGTTTTTCAATAAAATGCTTTATTTATAATGAAAAAGCAAAGCATAGAGCGTCGGTGGCTCAGGGGTCAAGCACTTGACTTGCAATCTGCAGGTCCTGGGTTCGAATCCCGCCATGTACCAACGTGTTTTTCGGTGAAGGAAAACATCGTGATGCAACCTGCACGTATCTGAGAAGAAATTCAAATATATGTGTGAAGTCAACCAACCCGCACTTGGCCAGCGTGGTTGACTATGGTCTAATCACCCTTAACCTTGGGTAGGCTCCGAGCCACACGGTAGGAACGTATAGGGAGCTGATAATGATGAAAAAGCACAGCCCGTATAATTTGGCAAAAACCTTAGCGAATGTAATTTAAAGTTAGATCTATCAGAGTTGATTTATATATTTTTTAATATTGACCGCTTGAAAACCAGGATAAAGTCCGAGTCTTACATCTCAGATTTAGGTGGTAGCTTTTAATCCGTATATTGCTCCTGATCTCAAAAGTATTTGCAAGCGATAAAAAGTCGTTTGAGGCAACAAGCAAAGCAGTTTAATGAGTGCCCTGCGATCTGGGTTAATGGTGCAGCGCCCTCTGCCGACGCTTTAATTTCTTATTCCTCTCGTTAGTGTGCCTTTTAAAATTTCAACCGAATCCTTGATTTCTCAAAAAACAAGTTTACATTTAATGTAAAATTGTATAATTGTGCTGAGTATGAACAAATCTAGGTAAAAGACGTAGCGGTCTTTTCCTATTTACACAGTTTTTCATATTTTCATTTGTATTAGACACATTTTTTATTTATAAAACATTGAGATGTGCGCAGATCCGCATCACACAGCGTCACGAACAGGATATGAGATCTTAAATAGGAATTCCTCGAGTTCTTTGTCAGCGCGTCCTAGATCTTTGCATATAACTATCTCATATGAATTCGTATTGTAGTTTTATCGTAGTAGAGAGCCAATAAGGTCGAACTATATTCTGTACTACTAAAATTTAGTTTGACACTGTTTAGTGAAATGCATGTTTTAACCCTTTGTACGCCGATGTATGATGGATGTAAAGTGGTTGTTTGCACCACAGTACTTTAGTATTAATCAAGAACTCATTTCGCAAGCCTAAGCATAGGTTTTCAATAGCCATTAATTGTCAAAAATCCGCGCCGAAGTTATAGTCACTATATAAATAAGGTTGACTTATGTTTAAGCTAAAATTAGAAATATTGTCTATTTTTATAGTAAGGCCCATTGAGTCAGTTCCACAGACGACGTTGACTGACGCGGCGCGGTGGAAACTACAAAGGGACTTATAATTGCTCGTCACTTGTTCTTTGTTAACAAATTAAATTAATTTGCACACAGATTTTTTTTAAATTAGTTTCATGAAAGTGTATGTACTATTTTGAAACTTTAGAATGTGATTATTAGTAAGTCAAAGAACATGTAAAGATGGGTCAAGTACTTAATGGTCTTTCAAGTTTCTTGGATTATTATTAAGTAACGTTTATTTGGCAATGCATTTTGAATGTAATCGCCATTGGGCGAGTCGCCAGTACTTGTGCGACCGAGTACTCGACTCCTTAACTCGTTGGGGCATATTCATACGAAGAACTTGGAGGCTTGACATGATTTTCCATAGATTAAAATGAGACAACTAGCTTTTAAGTTTTAACATCAAACAGCGTTGAATAATAATTAGATCTGCAAAATATGATAGATATTAACTACAGAAAGATATCGAATTTTCTATGACTTATTTTTTCATTCACGTATTATTGCTATTTTTGGTTTTAGGCGTTAAAGTTTGCTATTAAAAATATATTTTAACAATATCAAAGTTCTCTCAACATAATATAAAAATATGAATTTCTCCGTTTAAGTACAAAGTATAAGTTTGAGTCTCGTGAGATTTGACCGTGCTTCGAAGCTGTCAAACTTTTGTTAAGGCTAATTACTAATTTCCATTCTACTTTGCCATTTTATGCATAAAAAAAAAACTTCTCGAGAACAATGCTTGTTAAAATAAGTTTGCGAATTGCTTATGACATTTTATTAGTAATTTAATATACGTTACTCTGAGTTTCAAAGGCAAAGACATTAAGAAAAATATTGTTTTCTCTTTCACTCTCTACGTAAAAGTGAGACAACAATATCTGTTCCTATTTGCTACTCAATTTTAGTTTGAAGTTAGAAATAAAAACATGAATTAAGTTTACATAATAGCATTTAAATTAAACTTACGTTAGAACAATGATAAATTGCGTACATTATCTTGATGTTACGTTCTTGAGCGTATACGCCGCTATTACGCTCGCGATTCCCTCACGTGGGGAATTTACGAGATGTAATTATGCAGTTTACAATTCATTGTGACTGGCGGGTTGTTTTACGCGATGTCATTTGCACTGTTATGTGAATAAGGGTTCTATTACATCTCCAACAAACTTTTGAAATTAGCATCTAAGACATCAGAAATTTCAATGATTTTTCGAAATCGTTCACACAAAGGAATTATTTTAGTTACGTTCAGATGATTCATGAACGGTGGAGATAGCTTAGTTCGTTTTACTACTTACAAAAAAAAACCGTCGGATCAGGAGGTCATCGCAATAGTTCCTTTTTAATACATTTTGATGTGGACATCGTTGAGAGGTTTCACGCTACTCAAATTAAAATAGAAATTATAAAAAAATGTTTGCAATACCTTACCTGGTAACCAAATCTTTAACTTTTGTATTCCCTCCACTTACCTGAAACATAAATAAATCATAATTAAACTACGTAAATTAATATATTTTATAGTCTAAAGTAAATCAGAATAAAAGGGATGACAACATGTAATGTAAAAATGGGTGTTTCCCGTTGGACCGATCCGGTTACCCTTTAAACGGCTCAATGGTAAAAACTAAGTATATGTCGCAAGATGGAAAACAAAAGGCAAAATATCTATTGTTGTGTACATATCAGAAATCTTCAATTCCTTTCTTGCTTCCGGCGCATATTGATATTAAACATACTGCGTCGCATTTCAACATTCACAATGTTAGCGCAGAGAACGAACAAAATAAATGTAAGCAGAGTGTAACTATAGAAGAATATACAGATTATTTCTTGTATCTTTTATATTCTGTATTTTATATTTAGCAATAATTTTTACGTTTACATAACCTTACTTAATTACACTAGGTGATTCCATTTTTAGATTTTTTAAAGTGTTATTAAACACACTTAAATCTCTTGAACAAAAAAGCAAATTTATCGTGTCTTTTTTCAGTGTTAGAAGAAAGAATTTTTCTTTATTTGTGCAAAATTATCGTGTGATTTTTTTTAAAAGTCTTATAAAGATTTGTTAATTTTGAGGTTAATTTTATGTCCTATATAAAGTTTTTATATTTCTGAGAAATTAACCACTTTAATGACAAGCACCATTTAATTTTAGATGTAAAAAGCCTAATAAAAGAAGACGTTCTTTAAGTCAATTTGGCAAGGCGACGTTTATAACTTAAATTACTTTAATAAAACAACGTTTCTTCGTCCGTCTGTTAATTACACGTGAGGGTGAATTTAGTGACGCAGTTAGTTTAAATTAACAGCTTTCATGTTTTTCGTGTCGTCTGTAGAATCTACACAATCCCACGTACAACGCGCCTGTTGAAGTTCCTAACAGGTAATACTATATTTATTATTCGTACAAATCCTCACCACTACGACCAATTGTAACCGTCAGCTCAAAAATGGCGAAAATCAAATCGGCACAAAATATCACGTTTTACAGCTTGTCCATGCATTGTGGTGGCAACGCTCCAACACCATCTGTCACTTTTTGAATATAAACATAACAATATATGGTTGTCTCTTTCTCTCACTAAATTACGATCACATGTTTTATGTGAATTTTTCTGAAACGCAAGTTCACTTGTAATTTATATTTGAAATAATGTCATATCTATTTATTACTATGTTATTGTACTTAAGCATTGGCCAATTTTACTATAAAATTGCTATTAAATAAAAGAAAATAAATATTTTATTTGTAAAATCCTAGCATTAAGATTCATTGCATTAGAACTGGCATTTTCATAAGCCTCGGGCTGTTCCATTAATTGTAATTAAAACGATACTCGGGGTCCGCAACAAGATAAAAATTTTATTATGATTTACGTTTGCTAAAGTTTGTTGTTTGGAACATCCCTAACAAACCTCCTCTCTGACCCTTGTAATTATTTAGTAACCTTATTATAAACAATCGTTGGAAAATATCCTATTAAAAAAAAGGAGTAAAATTGATTATGGTTGTAAAGTGTATGTACTAGCTGTCGCCTGGAACTCCGGCCTCCCTGAATTAAAAAATACATAATTGGTAGCCTATGTCTTCTTCCAGACTATGTTCTATATGTATGCTAAATTTCATCGAAATCCGTTCTGCCGTTCTGGAGATACTTTCAAACAAACATCTATCCATCCATCTTAACATTCGCATTTATAACATTAGTAAAATTACTCATAATTAAACAATAAAATATTCACCACCAGATGGAAATTTTTATCGAAAATATGAAGCCAAATCGAAATACATAAAAAAAACATTACCACGAGAATTGTTACAGATAAATAAATTTATTAAAAAAGTAAATAAAAAAATATCGCACACAATAATATTAATCCAGGCTTGTGTGGTAGACAAACAAATCAAAGAGAGTCAGAGATAAAACAAACAAATTGATAAACGGGCTCGCAAACTAAACTCAAACAAACTTGAATTCCCAAGTTAAATGACACGTTATGAAAACTGCCGGGATACGGAATATTTGCTAAGAAAACTTTGTTATGTAAGAAACCGCTTACTCAAGTACGAGTTTAAACAGAAAACCGTGGATTTCCATTGCACAAAACATATACAAATACATATTTAATGAAAAGAATAGGATTTAATTTTTATTAAAAATATTTACGAATGTTTATAAATCAATCAGTTTATTTGCCAGAATATGGTAACCACAGATTACAAGAATTAATGAACAAACACATTCTGCCACATATGCCGTGCAGATATTATATTGATTATAAATTTAAACTTTATATTACCGAGAATGATATTAATAAGATTATATTAGTCGTCAATTATTTATTTATTATCACATCAAGATTTGTGATACTATTTTTCAGTAATAAACTCATTTTAAAATCAGTACGTAGCTGCCGCAAACAAAGTTATCTAGTTATCAACATCTTCCAAGCAGGAATAGCTTTGTCTAGACGGCGTTGCATTCAAGTAATACATTTGCGTAAGTGCAAACGTTCCAAGATGTTTCCTCTTGTTAGTTTAATTTTAAATATCACGCTTAGTTTTACATGATATGTACACACTGTTATTTTGTTCATGGTTAGTGCACTCCTAGGCCCTGAGATACAGGCCCAGCCTAGTTCGAGGTCTTTTTTTAAGAGGGGGAATGCGTTACGCATACCGGGTGCCTCGGGGAAAGCCACTCCGGTTATGTGGGACTCTCTCCACATCCCTAAAGGGACAAGGAGCCTACCCACTAAACCACCTCTGGTTCCCTCGACTCACTGTTTACCACTGTTGCCCACACCCCGGGGCACATGTTAATACTCTTCGCACACAAGTTCGAGGTCTGCAAGATACTTCAATGTATATTATTCTTAATGTGTTTTTGGGAAATAAATTTATTCTTATTCTTAATGCATTCAAAAGTGGCGCGATTCCAAATACATTAGTCATCCCTCTCAATTTCTTAGAAAAAACTGAGACAACAATATACTTTTGTTGGGATTTTTCGACAGTACAATCTCACGGTTTTGTAGCAGCTAAACTGTTTGTCGCAAACTTCCATGACAGTTTGGAATATTTCGCATTAATGTAACAACCTTTACCCCCTCCCCCCAACCCCCCATTTATCCACCTGACAATGACACTTGATAACATCAGCTGAACAGTGCCGCAGGGTGACTGTTGCCGGTATTATGCTAGTTTCAGACGAGGATAGAAAAGCGAGACTAAATAAATAAAGCAAAACTGTTTGCTGGCACATCTGCATATCTTTATGCATTTCCACAACTTAGGGCATAATATGTACTACTCTTTCATAGATCTTCATCAGCATTTTATTTATGAGATTGACCTTATACTTGTTCACACGATCACATACTTACCTCGGCCTTCTACCATGCTTACTACCAAAAAATAGTTCTGTCCTACTATTTTGCCTTCGTGTGAAACTAGCATTACAAAATTTATATTCGCATTCAAGCCTGTCAGTTACACGGCGGTTATTAAACTATCGATTTACAAAGTTTGGACAGGGATTTATATTTATCGTAATTTGAGCTATCAGCTCTGTCACCACCCGGTTATGTAACAAAAGGACATTGACATATTTAACAAAAACAACTACAACATTCAACATTGCTATTTAAATAATCCGTGTTATCTGATCTTAGTATGAACACAAACTTAAAAAGAACACGATGAAAATCTGATCTGAATCTTACTTTTAATATGCGAATGTTTGGATGGATGTTTGTTTGAATATATTTCGAGAACGACTGTAGGAATCTAATAATATATAGGCTACTAATCAAGTTTTTTTTAAATACTACGCTGACGAAGTCGCGGCCGACAGCTAGTTAACTAATATATTTTAAGCTTTATTTATAATAGTTTGATTAGAAAGTGGCAGTAACCATTGGTATTATGTATTTCATTTACTTTTTAAATGTTCCAAAATATGAATCGAAAGTTTTATATGTTTTATGTATTTTGAAATCCAATGATAGGTACATAAGCGATTAACAGAATTAATGGCGTAATCTGGACCGCAGTGTGAACGTTCCGTATGGGTTAACCACAATTGTCATAACATTTCGCGCCAATGTAAATACATAAACACTGATACATAAGTCGGTTAATTCAATTTAAATAAAAAATATAACACTTATTTTATGCTCATTGCTTTCGACTACAAATATTTAAAAAGTTAGTACTTGTTAATACTCACTGTTGAAAGAAACAGTATTTTTTAAATAATTTTCATTATTCATTTCTTATTTTATATTCAACTAGCAGACCCGACAGACTTTGTCCTTTCTACACGTCTTTAATTTGAATAAATTAATATGAAGTTAATATTTAATGAAAATTGTGAATCTAAACCATTCCCAGATCCCCTTGAACACACACAAAAAATTTCATCAAAATCGGTCCAGTCGTTTGAGAGATGTTCAGTGACATACACACTCACTGAAGATTTATATATATAAATTAATATTATAATCTGCAGATATAAAAAAATTGAAGTCGATTGTTTGGAAATTAACAGAATACTTTCAGTAGAAATAAATAAGTTAAATTACATATTTCGGATTTTATTGTAAGATCGACCTTTACGCGACCGAAGTTGCGTGGAACAGCTAGTATTAAAATAAAGTAAACTTTAATTTAAGATAGGGTTTCCAATAAGCACATATTACGCTGATCTTAATTTAAAATTCACCTCAATCTTCTTAAAACGTCCTCACATGGTCTTAAGTGCTCCATCAGCGGTATGCAAATTAGTTCGATCGAACCCAGAGTGCTAAGTACTACTTATGTAACTACAGCTTTACCTAATTCTATAGTTGTTCATAATCTCTCTGGTCTTATCCCACTAAAGTAGGGTTGGTGCAAGATTTTTATAAACCTTAATTTTTACGGTCAGCCGACTGCCTGTCGCCAACCCTACTCGGGACAAAT